CCTAATTCAGCAGAAATATATACATGCACACATTTACTTAAGGACAATATGGTAAAATATTAATTGCTGAATCTGTCCAAATAGTTTGATTCAGGGATGGTTGTGGGAGCATTCTTTATCATAGCCCCCAATTAGAAATAATCTCAATGTCTAACAAGGAGGTTGGTTAAATAAATTGGTACAACCATACAAAGGACAACTACTACTGAAAATTTGTAAGAGACAAGCTAGGACATGGGACATTTTTTGTGAAAAAGATGAAAACCAGAGATTTTTATGGCCCATCTTTCAAGGCCTAGTTCCAATGAGATGTCTGCCCTAGAGCTTCTCTTAATGGGGACTAAAAACACTCCGTTTCTCCACACGTGCTTGCCATTGCGTGCTTACCGGTTCTTGGGGCTTGTCGACTCTACAAGCTTGCTGAGTGAGGGCGGGGGTCTGTTCGGAAGGATCAATATAAGTAGAGGTCAACCTGACCTATGGAACAAAAAATGAAAAAGGAAAAGGAGGGTAGTGAGGTCTTTATCAGTGTTCGGTCAGAGGCTGGAGGGTAGCTGTGGGGATACTGTGGTGCCGTAAGGGGAAGGAGTAAATTAAAGGAGCCACCAGTTTGTGAGTGTTCATGCCAGGTACTATGCTAAGCGCTCTCCAGAACCATCTAGCCCAATCCTTACCATCTTACTACTAGGTAGATACCAAATCAAGAAAGTTTATAAAAATGAGAAAACCCCAGAGAGGTTAAGTAACTTGCCCAAGGCCACATAGCAAACTCAAGAGCCAGGATTCAAATTCAGCAAGTCAGATTTCAGCACCTAGGTTTTTCCTGATTTCCTAAAAGCACTGAGGTAGAACATGAGTTTTCAAAGTAGCAAAGGGAGGAGAGACCAGATGGCCTTTCAAAACCTTTCAGCACCAACATTCTACAAATCTGTCCACCCAACAAACATTGAAAACAGGCAAATTAAGGTCACCGTTGCCCCTGGCACTTAATGTCAGAGAAGATGCCACACTGGTGAAGGGCTAACTTGTGTGTGACTGAAGTTCTTAAAAATAAACCAAAGAAAGAGAAGGATGAGCTTCCCTCCGCCCACACTTCTTTTCCTGTTTCAACAATAAATACATATTGTGAACGAGGGCATGTCATTCCACCGTGTCAGACTCTTCTTGGCTAAGTGGTAATTATATACAGCAATTACTTTATTCAGGCAAAATGAAAGCATGGATTCAACCCCAATGATTTCTCTAAATTTTTATTAATTTTTTTTTTTTTACAGCTCGATCCTCTTGTGAAAAGGAAAGAATTTGAAGATTAACAAGTCAATTACATGTCTTTTTAAACAGCAATTAATCCTCATTACAGAGAACAACAAACAAAAGATCTGTGGCACGTTATCTTTGGAAAGATCTTTTGCAAATTTTTCTTCTAAAAAAAGAAAACTATAATTTTCACAGATCACATATGTCTCTTTCAAAGGACTATACAAGGCAGCTAAATTTTATTCACACAAGCCCCAAGTTGCAGTTCCATTGCTGAAGTAGATACAATACATGGCGTCCCCCTTACTTGTGTTGCACATCTTCCCACTGAGAGCATCCCCGCTTCCCTAGCCTACGTACAAACTCACCGTGTGGACTAGACAGCTGGCACATTATTCCACAAGAATTAGAGACAAATTCGTATTTTAGATAGACCAGTGATCATTTATCAACTGGGCAATTTATTCCTTTTTTAAACAATTTTAATACCAAGATTTGACTTCCTCTAAAGTTATAAGAAAGCAACAAATATATAATATAATATATAACGGTAATAAATAAAAAAAAAGGCAACCCTGCTCAGGTATCATCCAAAACATGATCACATTCAGAAAGACAAAAAACAAAAAAGATTTGGGACACATACCTATAAACACACACACACACACACACACACACCCCAACATGAACAGTGTATAGTTGATATCTGAGGGGGAACGTGCAGCAATTTTAACAATACATGTTGATGGCCTGAACAAAAGGCGAAGTTAATACTGCCTGTGTTAAGCATCACCTAAACATCTACTTTTATAAGCAAAGCACATTATCTTCCTTAGGTCGGCCACCGCCTGGTCTCACCAGTGCAGCCTGGCCAGCCTTGCTGCCAGTGGTCTTATTCCCTTGTCCTTCCAGGCCGAGAGAGTATTATCTAGGCTCACAGGGAGCTGTAGGTTTCCTTCCTGCCCTTGTGGGTAGAGAAATACAGGGAACTTTTCTACCCATCACAGTACCTGTTGAGATCTGTTGCACAGTGGAACATAGTGTGATTTCCCTAGGACAATAGGGAATCCACAGCCCCCTTAAGTAGATAGGTGGTGCTTGCCAACTCATTATAAGAACTAAAGAACATGGCCAGTGGTCATCATTCTTAGTCACTGAGAAACCAACATTGTGTTGTGTTGTGTTGACTGGATTGCATACTGGAGGTTTATATGGTACAAATACCCTTTGCAATGTTTGAAGGAAGATCCCCAACACCACGTAATTCTGCTAGTCAACCTCCAGCAAACAAAATGACAAGATAAAAAGGCACAGGAAAAACCTTATATTAATTCTCAATAGGACCAAAAACAATCAGAAGAGACAACCCACTACAGAAAGGGAACAAAGAAGTACCACCATAGTCCTGACACGCCTCCACAGCCCCATACACAACTCTTTCCAGTGAGCAAATCTCTGCATTTGTGTTTCTAAAAGCAGCCCAAATATCCTTGCAAAACTGAAATACTGGTAATTGATGGTAAAGACTGTAGTAGGAGAAGTGGCAAAGTTTTTCAAAGATTTGTGTAGTGTCTGGGAAAATAAATCCTTAAGAAAAAAGTAGAATCTGTGGTGGGAGGTAGGGAATCAAGCCTTATTTGATTCATTTACCTGAAGATGAATAAATATGCCTCAAACTTCATGAAGCAGAAGAACGAAAGGTACAAGACCCACATTAACATGTCTTAAAGCCATATCAAAATAAATACAGCATTATCCCAAATTAGTATTATTTCAAAATTAGGTTTGGTCAACAAAGGCACAATGAATACATCTAATTCAACCAGCCTCATAGTCTGTGTGTGTGAATGCGTATGCATGCGTACAACACACGCACATCTCCTTTCTGTATCAGATACAAAAGCTGTTCATTTTGGAGGACATAATCGTTCATCTTTTTGCTTCTAAAAATTATTGGACAGGAATCCTAACAAAATAGTAAGGTCCTGGTTCTACTAACATGAATATTTAAGGTACCAGTTAAGGCAGGTTTTCAGCCAGAAAGGGGGGTCAACTGTTAGCTTCTCAAAAGCCTGGGATCTGGAATCAAAGGATATAAATGTGTTCTAATTTGTCTAGGGGAAAAGCTAAATATCTTGGTCAAAACAGATCTATAAAATAAAGATCCTTTTATTTAAAAAAAGAAAATTTAGATTCATTCAGTATCATTCAGCACTGAGTGTATCCTAGAAGTCATGCTACTGCAACTCTCGTCCTGATAATACACCCACTGGACCCTCGCTTCTTCACCACAGCTCACATGTGGCGAATGTTTTCACATTCTTATTAACCCAGTGTCATTTGGTGAATTTCAGTGAAGTGTTTTTCATCCTTTAGCAGGGCCCCTAGTCTGGCTAAAATCTCAAGTTCAGTGATTCACATTTTAATTATCTCCAGAAAGGACAGAAACATTCAACATTTTAAAAAGTAAAACAGTGTTCTTCCATTACCTAGTAAAGAGACACACAAACACACACACACACACACACACAAAACTGTAGTGCCAAAGGCAAGATTTTACACTCAATTTTCACTCCTTAAGATGCTTTGTTATTTGTCTCATTTTATAATCTAGTCCTTTCAATTATCTACCTCAGTACAAATTCTGCCTTTGGGAATTTAAGCATGCAGTGAAAAAGTGCAGTGATTTTTAAAATTCTTTATAGATTTCTATATACAACTGTAACAGGAAAAAGACCTTATGAACATTAAGGATTCATCAGCCACTATTTTTCACATACTCTATTTAAAAAGTAGCCACTGAGAATCCTCTTTTAGGTACAAGGCAGTAAGAATCGGAAATATCCCATGTTCAAAATATTACAAATTGATCTCTGCAAACTGATTAGTTTTTCAAGGGACAAATAAATTTTTAATATAAAGGTTGGGGGGGGAAAAAGCAATTTTTTTTTTTTTTTTTTTTTAGAAGTGGCTGAGCAATCGACGCCGAGTGTCTTCAGTCACAGGAGCAGTGTCGCTCCCCGACAGAACACACACACACACACACACACTCCAACACATCTGCATAGATCAGAACCTGTCCGAAAAAGACACAGCCTCCCAAACTGACAGGTGACTTGTACTGGGGAATGGTGGGGTAAAGGGGCGGAGGAGGCCAAGTGAATAAGCGGGAAAAGGACATTAAATAATCACATATACGTGACTCTGGTGTCTTGTTTCACACATACAAGAGATGGGCATGATGCCACAACCCACCAGACAATTACTGCTCATTTAACAAAAGGTTTTGTTAAATGGCCTTGCTTTAGAACATCAGCGAATGAAATCGGTCCATCAAGACCACATATCCAGTCCTCGTGCTCAGGTATTAGTACTGCTATAACTCTCTGGCTTTCACCTAAACATAGGTAACAAACCTCCGAACTAGCTACTGATAACAGAGAACAGGCTGGCTAAGACACTGAAGGAACAGCTTCACACGAACACTTCATATGTGAAAAATCATCATCACTCCCATCCTCCACACATCCCTTTATGTATTGACCAAATCACCGAGTTCTTACATTCCTTGTATGGACCTTCAACCTCTTCCTTATACAGATGGCACTCCCTTCATTAATAGTATGAAAATGACAAATGTTCTGGGTAGGAAACAAAATGTAGAGGGGCAGAATGGAATAAAGGGAGAGAAAAAAATGAACCAACAGTAGCGATAACACTCACTCCTCAATTTTAATACATGTGCAAATTCTACTTCTAAAAGGGATATCAAGAATTGGCTTTTAAAAACACTGCACTCAAAATAATGCTTCCAATAGCCTTCAAAGTTTCAATAAAAAAAAAAATCTGTGCTTATGGTTATGTGGGAATTTTGACTGTGTTCTTTCATTAGGTCATTCCCTATGAACTTGGTTTAATGTCTAGAATATGGCAATAACAACATATGGGAAGGCCACGGTTCTTCAATCCAATCAAATCTAGTTGACTGAGAACACTTTGGAGTGAAGGCATGTGGTGACTTTTTTTTTTTTTTTTTTTTTTTTAAAGTCTAATTAACCACCCACATCTCCACATCCTCTTAGGGAGTTAACTTACCCTAGACAATCAAGGGCTCAGAAAGTGTACTTTTGCTATAAATATAAAATAATCTGTAGCAGAAAAATATAGCCTCTCTAAGAAGTAGATTTCATTTTTCTTTGTTTGCTGACAAAATTCTGAGTTGGTTAGACAACATGAGTTACCACATAACTGTAGACCACAGATCAGCACCTCAAATTCCAGCTCTACTTAAACAAAAATTAAAAAGTACTTTAGCCATCTGGTCAGGTATAAATGTTGGTTCCCTTCTTCCCCAAGGTAGAAAATTCAGAATATAGTCAATGGGTGACTGCCTTTCACTGAAGCAGGGGGTGGAGGACGACACCACCAAGTCCTCCATCGTGCATGCGATCTCAAGATGGCGTCCCCGTGGGCAGCAGCTCCTCCCTCCACCGCTCGGACTTAGGCTGACTCCCAGCAGTGACGGAGAAATCAGAAGTGGGGTGAACGCGCAGTACTCCAGGCAACAGGGGCATGGGGGGTGTGGGGGAGTTGCCTTCAATTTTATAAATTGTGACAATACTTGGTATTATCAAAGCCACTGTTCATGGGCAGGAAGTGGAGTACAGTGGAGTCCTTCACAACTTATGCTTTATAGGTGACTGTTAGAATTTAGTAAACAAATATTTCCCCCAAAACTTAAAAGAAAAAAAAATCATCCACAAAACCCTACACCAAAATTCATTGTTTAAAAAATTTCCTTCTGGGAATAGACTAGGTGGCTACCGAGATGACATGAACTTGCTCTCAGAGCTGAAACTGCTTCTCCTCATTTCATCTGCCATTTGCATCCTGCTGGTTAAAAAAAGTACGGAAATGTTTCTAGACCACTCATGTGCCCACTTAGTCTACATTGCACTTCTGTCCTTCAGTTAGGAAAGGCAAGGTCATCTCTGGGGCCAGCCTCCACCTCTCTGCTTCTGTACAACCACCACGTCCAACCAACGATCATGTAAGTTCTTGAAAGTTGAAGTGGACAAATGTCCTGGCCATCTCATGGTGCTTCTCGAGTTTGGTGTCTTGATGAGACAAACGTCTGAACTGTTTTTGAGGCTTTCAATGTGCAAAAAAGTTCCCAAGCCATCAAATCAACTTGGGCCTCCGTTAAGGTGTTTTGGTTGCTTGTTTTAGCCGCTGAAAACCCTGTCTTGTATAGTGCACCAGATCCATCAAACTGCTGTTGAGGGCCAAGGCACACACACTTGTGCTGAGCTGAGCAAAAAATTCTGCAAAGCAAAACCAAAACCAAGTGAACACATTTGCACACACAAAAATAAAAACGGAAACATAAAAAGTCAAAGTTCCAGCAACTGTATCCCCACAATATTCTGTACTTCATCACAGCAAAAAATCGCCATCTACTACCGTTAATGGCTCACTAGTTCTCCACACCCCTCCACTAGGCTGCAAGGCTGAGCCTGGAGCCAGTTCTCGAGCTGAGTCCATCAGGCCTGGCACAGGGGCTTGTGCTGGAAGATACCCAACCTGTACTACCGGGCCAATGGGGGGCTGAATAAAAAACAAAACAACCCCCAACAGGTAAAAAGCATCATTAGTTTGCTAAGAAAGAAAGTAAAATTCTAAGAGGCTATGAGAAAAGTTAAGTGGCTACAGCTAGCTGGCCCCTGCCTTCCCTACAGCCAGGAGAAAATCCGGAGTGGCATTCGGGGGCAGTGACAGGTACGCTTTTACTCAGTGCTCGCTGGGCGCTCACAGAGCAGTTCCTCGAACGGCACACACTCTACCATCGCCTAAGCCTTGGCTCTCTCCAAGGTTTCTTCTTCTCAAAGAAGCCTCAGGACTGTGTGCTATGCCACGCTTCTTACACTGTTGCTAACCGTCTTTCTCAACCGATACTGAAAACAAGCGTGCGACTCAGTGTTTAGGTCACACTACCTCACGTACCACATGGGTTGTGCGCAGACAGCCGGTCCCTTCCCGTCTTTACTTGCCCTGCCCTTTCGCTAGCACTTCAGCTCGGGCTGAAATGATGATGCCAGAACGTCTGGAGGGCGAGGCGCCGCAACCACTTCTACTTTAATTTTGCGGAGATCTGGTCATGGAGGCTTGGCTCCGTGCCACAGGGCTCAAGCAAGAACTGCGGCTGGGTCGTGAGGCAGAAGGGAGGACAGCAAATAGCTCCACACTCCCTTCACTTCAGAACACTGAACATAAAATACAAACCAACAACGGCACTCCCCTCCCGATCCCCATGCCCCGGGAATTACCACCACAGAGCCTTTTACCTTTATTCTTCCTCGTCAGGACCTCAGCCTGCTCCCAAAGATCGAAGGCAGTAAGGACATGGGACGTAATGGTGACATAAGACGACGTCATGTTTTGGATGGTGACAGGCATGCCGCTGCTCCCTCCACTGCTAGCACTTGACTGGGACCCGACGGAGCCGGCAGGAGAAGGCATTGGAGAGAGAGGGGACGGTGTGCCTGTGCTTCTGGGAGACGGGACAAAGAAGAGAACTGGTTCATCACCTTAACCCCGCAGATTACGGACTTCTTGTCTCTGGGACTGCAGTCCAAGTTACAAAGTTCGGGGTGCACTAGCCAAGATGAAAATCACTTCTACAAGATCAGAGACACCCTTTGCCTTCAGGATTTGGGGAATTTATTTCATGGCACACAACAAAATGGGGCCACCAAATAGAGAAAGTAGCTGGACGGACGCAAGGTGTCCTTCGCAGGACCCAGATTCAGGTGGGCACATCTACATTCCGAACATGCTTGCTCCATTTACACAGTCTACTCCCTCGGCCTGGAATCCCTCCCTCCCCCCACCCTCAGTTCTAACTTCCACCAAGACAATGCTTCCCTGGGAAGACAGTTCTAATCTCCTATATATTCATTCTCTCATCTAGTCAAACACTGACCGAACATCCACTCCACACTTGGCCCTCTTCTGGACCCCAGGGAGATAGCATGGCCTCCCACTGGCCACCACCTGAACTGGTCTCTTTGCATTTACCTATTAATTTATCCACTGCATTTCTCACATCCCATTATACTCTTCTGTCTATTCCTTTTCCTTCCTTGAAGGCTGGGACCATTTCTTATGAATCTTTGCATTTCTAGCACTTAACACAGAGAGTAGGCCCTTCCCAAGTATCTACTGAATCAATGACTGGATGAATACAGGACAGCCTCCGAGGAGACTGGGCAAGAGGTACTGCGCATCAGGGGATGCAGTTTTCTATCTACTCTCCTTCTGGCTATATACCTGCACATGCAAGTTAACAAGGGCCTTGATGGGCCTCAAGTGAGAAACACGAGGAAAACATTTAGACATAAAAAGTAATGGAAAGATGGGTCAAACAGCAGGAGCTTCATGATTGGGTCCATCTGCCCTCAGGGAGCTGCAGGGACCCCAAGTGTCCCCCGCAGAATGTACACTGTGAAGGACTAGAGTGGCAGCTCCATGAGGGCAGAAATTCTTGTCTGCTCTGTCTACTGCTTTATCCCCGGTACCGAAAAACAAGGTTTGGTACAAAGAAGGTGCTTGCTATACAGTGGCTGGACAAATGGTGAAGGAGTTATTTAAAATAATATGACTGACAATGTATTGACTTAGAATTAACATCTGAGGTGAGAGTCATGAAAATTTTCAGAGGTAAGAAGTTACTTCTCAATCAGGACTTTTTTTTTTTTTTTTTAAGAGAGGCCATATGGGACTCCCTTCTCTTGAATGTGCTAGAAATGGGGCAATCTTCTAGGTGATATTCTTAAAATAGCAAAACCTATCAGAACGGGGAACTTTTCAAGGAGTTATAACCAAATTAAAAAAAAACAACAAAACATGCTAGGTAAGTACTACAGGGAAGAAAATTCTAACTTCATCTTAACAACACCTGCACAAAAATTCTGTTTTTCAACATCTTATGGCACAAATGAACACCTTCAGTTCACAAAGGAGGCAGGAGTCAGCTAGAGATAGTTTTCATTCTTAATATTACTGTCATAGATCCTAGATAAGGGCATTCAGTTCTGGAAAGTTCTTGTTTACTGAAATGCCAAGACAACATGTCATGTAGACGGAGAAAAGACTTTGGCTCTGATTGGCTCTGCCTCTGTTGTGTGTTGTTAGGCATATCTGAAGATCCTCAAAGCTCTAAAATTTTGACCCTATATTCTTTGTAATTATCTTTTTATGTTACTTACTCAGCAAACACCTTAACTTATACCTATTCCTCAAAAAGGTCGAAATATGCTAAGAATTTAAGGAGCAAACCAGCACATAGATGTACACAATTTTTGGAAAGCCAAAGTCATACAAATGGTTGCAAAAGCAAGAAGTAAATAAAGAGATAACTTGATTTTGAGAATTATTTAAATTAGACTTTTCATTACCTCGCAATGCATGGAGAAGGTGCCTGGGCAACTTTGAAAAAACTGCTGAAGTGTTCGTTAAGAGCACGAGAATACTTTATTGCTGTCTCTTTTTTACAACGAAACATCGCCATGTTCAAAATGGACTGGCAACGCATGCTATGAACATAAACAGAAGTTAAAGTCAAGAATTACTTCGTAGACACGAGTATCACTACTACACAAAGCCATCTAATTACCCTTTTATAGTCTAAGGAACACTCTGGGTTTTCCTCATCTACATGAGGAAGAACATCTTAAGAATCTTACTGTACTGTTCACACTAACATCAAAAGTAGGTAAGACATAAAGGGGCGCCTGGGTGGCTCAGTCGGCTGAGCATCCCACTCTTGATTTCGGCTCAGGTCATGACTTCAGGGTCCTGAGATCAAGCTGACGCTGAGAGTGTGGAGGCTGCTTAAGGTTCTCTCTCTCCCTCTCCCTCTGTCCCTCCCCGCAAAGTAAATATTGGTGGAAAAACACAAATACACAAGAATATCATTTAAGTCATGAGACCAAAGCATCTACTGAGTCAACAGTAAAATGGCAGATGTCTTTCAGAAGAAATGACTATCAGCGGGATTAACCTCCTGACCACACATCCTATTTTCTGGTATTGTTCCGCCTTTCATTATTAATTTCCATGTTAAGAAAACAAATTACACAATCTTTTTTATAACAGCAAAAGATGCAAAAGCAAATACTATTTAGACAAGGAAAAATAAAAGTACACACCATAAAACAGCAAATATTTTCTCTTGTGGAGTTGAGGCGTCTGAAAAGGATTTCAATGACATTATAAATCTATAGGAAAATATAAAAATACATCAGGTTAACCAAAAGCAGTTAGAAAATCCCAGGCACAAAGATATCTTATTAGGTTTGTCTTGGTTTTATGTTGATTTTCCTGAAGATGTGAAGACATGAAAACCACGCAGAAGAAAACCCCAGGCTTTAGAGCAGTAATTCAGGCCATTCAGCAAAGCAGACAAGGACACATCTCTTCTCTGGCCTGTTACCTGCTGGAAACCACGTAAACGTGTGTCCTCACGGCGTCCCCTGCCCAAACACAAAGAAGGGAGCGGACACGGAGCTGCCAGTGCATCTGATAAGACAGCCAAACTGGAAAAACCGGGCTCTCCCTGAACGGTCCGGCATTTCATGGTGCACTTGGCAGAAGGATGGAGCTGGACCCGGTCCCTCCGTTTTATCACTTCATCTAGAATACAATTTTCGTTTTGGGCCCAAGGAACGGTCCTGGATCAGTAACTTTTTTTTTAAGGCTCCCCTTTATTAAGTTGTCTTCCTACTAAATTCGAGTGGATTCAAACAATAAAAGGCGAGGAAGGAAAAGCACGTAGCAAGATGGCAAAATGACGTGGCACTTACTTAATGAGGTCTGCGCTCTCCGAGTACACCAAGTAAGCCGACTTGGACGCCGAGCTTTCCGACTCTGTGGCAATCCCACACTCAATAAGGGACAAGGCGGCCTCCAAGTACTTAAAAGCCTTCCCAACCTTGTCCGTCTGTAGAAGAGCATGGTCACTGTTAGGCCTCAGACAGACTTAATTGTTTATAGTTTCTCAACCACATTCTCTACCTCAACTTCCCTCCACTGTCTTAGTTTAATTATGGCTAGGGAAAAGCGTGAGAACAGGGGAACTCAAAATGATAACCAAAGCCTGTTGGCTCTGACCTACTGCAAAATTTCTTTTAGCAAAAATTTAGTAGGAAAAAGAAAACAATCTTCTTAAGACTACTCTCTCAAAGTCTTAAACTACACATTCAAACCAAGGCAGTAAGCACATCGTCCCCTTGTTATTGGTGTACAATTACGTGATTTTCATGAGAAGATTTTCCTACACACCCAGAATGACGCAGACACAAATTTCTTTGTATGTGTGGAAGTTTATCTTATAAGCAATAGGAAACATTATGGTTTAGGAGCATCTTAGAACTTATGTCTAACAATAATCGTCTTATGTATTTTAGAGCCAAACAGATTATCCAATCTCATTTGGAAGTCAGGGTTAAGTGTACAAGGCTATCCCTGGGCCAGGGAGGATAAAATTTCAGAGTCCCTTAAAGGGCAAGTAGAAACATGAATGAGCTCAAATACTGATGGTCACCTAAACCTGAAGGCACGCGGTGTCACGGAATGCTCTCCTCCCTGGAACACAGCCAGCTCTTCAGAGACTGTGATAAGCACCCCCACCTTTTCTCTACACTTGCCATATGGACCATGTGTTTATAAGAGCAACCAATTAACACATATCCAACTTTGTAGTTTCTGCTAATGCTTTCAACTTGGTATGTTCAAAAAGAATTAAAAACAGCAAAGATGCAAAAGGAGTATAAGGAGATGGTAACACATCAGCAAAGAAAGATGGCGTGGGGCTGCTAACTTTTTAAAAATAACTTTGTTCTAAACTATTTTTTCTAGAGAAAGCCAGGCTCAGAAAATCAGTGACAGTAGACAGGTTCCTCAAAAAGTTAAAAATAGAACTAACTACCCTATGATCCAACATATACACTACTAGATATTTACCCAAAAATACTGATTCAAAGGGGCACATGCACCCTGATATTTATAGCAGCGTTATCTACAATAAGCCAAATTACGGAGCCCAGATGTCCAATGACTGATGAATGGATAAAGATATGTATATATAAAATGTATATATAAAATGTATATATAAAATGTATATATAAAATGTATATATAAAATGGAGTCTTACTCAGCCATCAAAAAGAATGAAATCTTGCCATTTGCAACAACGTGGATGGAACTACAGGACATTATGCCAAGTGAAATAAGTCAGTCAGAGAAAGACAAATACCATATGATTTCACTCTTGTGTAATTTAAGAAACCAAACAGATGAACATAGGGGAAGGGAAGGAAAAATAAAATAAGATAAAAACAGAGAGGGAGGCAAACCATAAAACACTCTTGACTGTAGAGAACAAACGGAAGGTTGCTGGTGGGGAGGTGGGTGGGGGATGGCCAGATGGGGGATGGTTCTTAAGGAGGGCACTTGTGATCAACACTGGGTGTTATATGTAAGTGATGAATCACTAAATTCTACTCCTGAAACTAGTTTTACACTATATGTTAACTAACTAGAATTAAAAAATAAGGAAAAATTAAGAAAAACTTGAAACATTAAGTATGGTATTTATTAAGTGCTGTCAACTTCCTGTACTTGAAAAATATGTTTTCTATGTTTAATAAAAAGTCTGTTTTACATTTCAAAAAAAAAAACAACCAAAAATTAGTGACAGAAAGAGTAAAGATCAAATTGGCACACCCCCACTAAACCAGCAGTACAGGGCTTTACTGGTTTGCTTCACTGGTGAGAATTTAACTCCTCAATTTGTTTATTTAATGCCATCTCTTTCATGGAAATTCCAAGATTTATACTGGCCTTAGTGTATAAACAAAAGGAACTATAGTAAAAAAAAAAAAAAAAAAATTGCCAATATCCGCTTCTTTGAGGGAAGTATTCTGTAAGGCTAAGAACGAAAACATTCCTGTGACAGCCCCCTGGGTAGCTCTGGAGACAGGGTTCAAGAGTAGCGGCCTCACTTCCCTTCTCAACAGTGAGTAGGACGCAGAGAAAAAAAAGACACTCCTCTATGTTCAGTGGTGCACTTAACGATTTGGAACACAAAATGGACCAATTTGAAACCTTGTGCAAATAAAGGAGAATTAAAGAATAAAGAGGCTGCCCATTTGGGCTTTTGTCCAAACCAGCATATTTTCAGAGTGAAATGAGCTATTATTAGCTATTAAAATGAGATGCAACAAGGTATAAACCAGGACTGAACTGGGCACACTGGGATATGCGGGCAGCTTAGGCAGGGAGGAAGAAGAGGTGCATCTATATAAATTAATTAAAACAAAAACAAAGTCCCCTGGACTACTGTCTGAATAATGAAGGAATCTGGGGCGCCTGGGTGGCTCAGTCATTAAGCGTCTGCCTTCGGCTCAGGTCATGGTCCCAGGGTCCTGGGATCGAGCCCTGCATCGCACTCCCTGCTCGGCAGGAAGCCTGCTTCTCCCTCTCCCACTCTCCCTGCTTGTGTTCCCTATCTTGCTGTCTCTCTGTCAAATAAATAAAATATTAAAAAAAAATAATGAAGGAATCTAGTGGCTGAAAGCGTCCAATGTCAGGGCAAGTTTTAGACAACCGGCTGACAAAGTACTGAATATTAACTCTTTTGCAGAACTCAAAAGGTTCTTACAGTTCTGGCACCAGCTCTGGGGAGCTGGAAGGCAGAGACAGGAAAAACACTGTCACATTTGGTGCAGATGCGGCCATCCTAGGAACGGGGCTGCTCCGGAGACAGGTCTAGAGGCAGAGGCTGATCTTTGAACCCCTCACAGCATTCCCGTGTAGTAAAGACTTGATAAGCATCTTGCCCTGATGAACAGGGGCTGATAACAGGGTCTCGGTCCAGCCCTCCCTAGCCGGTCTGAGGACCTGAGGAGAGATGCTTGCCTGCAGACTGGGGCGGAGAGCGCAGGCTGGGGTCTCAGGGGCACCACGCTCTTCTCATGTGTATAAGGTTCAATATATGGTATTTGCAGGGGTTGGGGCTCAGAGCACACATGAAATAAATAAAAGGCCCCAAGCCTCAGATGTTTGAACAGGACAAAGGGCAGGCATGATGTAATCACACTGCAGCAGGGATGAACAGCACATTCAATCACGGATGCAATTAACCACAAAGCACCGCTTCCCAGAACGTCCCAGCAGCCACTGGGGGAAGAGAGCTCATTTTGTAAAAGCACGTATACCCACACTGCAATCATTATGACCTTCATGTTCAAATTTTACCGAACGGCACTCGGCCTACTCTTTCCTCGGGCCATTATCTCAAGGGCGTTAAGACAATTTGGGAGCACAGACTACCTCAGTTTCTGAAATGTTTCCGGCCGAACACAAATTGATCGACTTTCAATAGAACTCGTCTCCCACAGCCAAAGAGCTGACTCAGTGGCACAAGGAAGCCCTCGTGTATTAAAGCAAACACCACCAGATAGATTTAACTTCCATTCATTTAGATGTGAAACTTGTCACTAGGTACCCTGTCTATTAATTCACTCATGTTCAGACTGAGTCGAAGCGAATAATTTCACTAAGAATCCCTTACCCCTTGATTCTTAAGACCTGCTGATCCTGTTTTACTTTGTGACCCATGTCGCCGCCCCCCCCCACCATTCAGTGATAGGGAGTTCAATGAGACCACAGAGACCTTATCAGAAAACATTCTACCAAAGGGATGAAAGAGCCAAACTGACCATTAACTCTGCTTTTTGCTTCAACTTTTTGGCCTCCTTCATGTGAAAATCTGCTTGTTGTCTGAAAGAGAAGCAAAGATCAGCAGCGGGTCAGAGGAACCTGGAATTACTAGACTGAGACAAGAGGAGTGAAGACGAAGGGGGTGAAAAAGGCTGGGGGGGGGTGGGCGGAGGAGGGAGGGAGCAGAGAAGGGGCAGAGCAAACAGGAGGACCCAGGCCCTTACCTGTCAGGCTTCACTGGAGGCTTCCCTGGTTTCGAGTTACCATTTGGCAAAGAAGGCACCAGAAAAGGATATGCAGTATCTCCAGAAGGTCCCTTTAAAAAATCGTCATACAGGTCACACTCCAACAGTTACAACCATCGACCTAAAGGTACCACACCCCTCTAAACTAGCCCAAAACAGTAGTTCAAAAAGAGGAAATCAAGTACTGTACAATGCAGCTTAGTTAAGCATTTTCCCAGCTAGGTTCATCTGAAACTGTAGGTACTGACTGTACTGAGGACCAAAAAGATGTAAGACAAGAATGTCCAAGAGCACAGATACTCAACAAAGCTAAACGTTACATTTTCTTGTGGTCCCCCCCCCCACACCCCAGGTTAGCAGGAAGAAAGGACCTTATATTTGACTATTATTTGAGAAAGTGGCTATTTTTTTTCCATTACAACCAAAAACCAAAGTATCTGATACCAAACGTGCGAACCAAGAACTAAGCTAAGTAACATTTTTTACTGCAAAGCACCAGACAGAAAATTAACACAAAAATCTATTCTGATTTTTCACCTCTGAACCACTTCGTTAAGGAAGAATAAACTGACATCTAAACTTACATGGAATATTAACCATCTTTTTTACTCTCCCTCTAAAACGTGGTAGAACCTTAAACACAACTCATCATTGCCTTATCTGCAGGGACGAAGAGTTCTGAAATACCATCCTTAGGAACTTCTCTTACCTGGGAATTGAAAGTAAAGATGTACTGATGGGTTCCACGCCACAAGTTCCAGCCCCCCAACTTACCTTGTGCTCTGTACTGCTTCCGGGTCCCTTCCCCTCGACTTTTCTGTGCTTGGGAGCGGAAGAGTCTTTGTGGTTGCCCTTGCTACTACTGGCACTTTGGGGAGGGTCCTGGCTGCAGGAGTCGCCTTCCCGCCTTGGCCTCTTTTGTGCAGGCTTGGCTGGCTTCTGGGAGGACGAGGAGGACGACGACGATGACGACGATGCAGGTGGTGGGGGAAGCGCTTCCTTCTTTGAGGGCTCAGAGGAGGGCCTGGATGTTCTGGAAGGAAACATCATGCAAAATTTTAAGTTAAGACAGAACCCGAACCACCTAACTTTAGTAGTTTAGTTGTAAGATAAAATGGCCGACAACACCAAAAATTAAGAAATCACAGAGCATGAAATCCATTCTTGTAGAAAGGCCCAATTTCAGGGACTTTGGATACCTTTGAAAGATCTAGTCCGATCTATGAATAATGGATTAAGTTGTGTGGTTTGTCACTAAGCTCCCAGAGTCTCCACAGATCCCAACTCCCCCCAACCAAGTTAGTCTTATTAGCTGTTCCCTAACCTGTACCCTTCTCTGACAAGCGGCCAAGCCAGCTGCCACCTTCTCTCGCCCTCCTCCCCGCTCCCTCCCTCCCAAATCTGTTGGCTCCCACCCAGTGACACTATGCACTTTCTTTTGCCAAGTCATCGTATGAAGCGATTTCCTGAATAAACCAGAGAGTGAATAACAGTTATTGTTTATAGTCACACCTTCCTGGAACTACCCCCCCCACCTCTCTCCAAAGCAAGAGACTTAGTGAATAGGCCTGGACACTCCCAGGAATCGCCTGAAGAAAGAGCACTGAACCCAGGCTCCCAGGATTCAAGTGCCAGCTCCATCTGTCATGAATTTTGTGACTATGGACAAGTCATTTTCTCTGTTTCCAATTCCGCAAAGTAGGGATAATAATAGCACCTTTCTTGTTTTTATGAAAAATTCTTTTAGAAAGAAATTACTTCCAGATGTTCAGGAAATTTTCAATAGTTAAAATGTCTTTGATAAACCTAAGCTTGGACTCAATGAATTGTTAATTCCCAAAAGGTCCTCATGGATAAAAGCAACATGAAACAAACTTAGCGCCTCATCAAAATGAGCCCAACAGTGTGCTGATCCGCTCCTACCGCAGAAGAAAAATGTTTTTGCCCTCTCAAGACCTGGGAAGACTCAATCACCTTTCAGGGCGGTTGCTAATCTCTATACTCACTTTGTTTTAGAAGATTCTTTGTGGGAGGATGAAGATGATGACTGTGACTTGGTTTCTTTCTCCAGTCTGGCTTTCTTGCTATCATGGTCTTTCTCTGCTTCAGCCTATTAGTGTAGCATAACAAAGTACACTGTTACAAACAGATGTACGGACAAAACAGAAAAGACTTCACAGCAAAGGTAATGAGTCATTGGACTTTCGACGACATCTATACACACACAGCAAACTTCTAAGTACCTATACTGTGTGTGTTTTGGGGGGTGGAGGGAAGCAGACAATGGAGATTTGATGAGATTTGTCCTGAGACAGATTCTCGCACAAGGAAGGAATAGCCTTCCCACCCAGGGAAGGGAGGATCTCTATGTCTAAGTAATAGCTGACAACAGGAAGACTAAGTAAGAGTCCTCAACACATCACTGATGTTTTTCTAAATATAAAAGAATCAATAAAACATGCATATTCACAGCAAGTAACAATGGATGATTTTATGAGTAAAGACATCCCCCTTTATTTCGAAAGGACCATCCACTTATGCCCACTAATTTATTCTTTGTATAAAATTAGGAGTCGAGTACTTAAAGCTCACTTTTCATCTAACGAAAAATAAGTATATTGTTGAGAAAGAAACAGGGTTACAAAACCCTCTGTCTCTATCTTATAGGCAGGACTAGAAAGACATACAACAAAGTAAGAATAGTTGCTTTGGGATTCCAGCTAACTTTTTTTTTCCTCTTTCACTAACACAACTGTCATTCTTCCTTTCTTTTTCAGAGACTGTCTTTATATCTCTCTATACATATAAGGGGACACATGTTTCTATTTTTCAAAAAATTTGAAAAAAAAAAAAATGAAGGATAAGGGGCGCCTGGGTGGCTCAGATGGTTGGGAGTCTGCCTTCGGCTTGGGTCGTGATCTCCAGGTCCTGGGATTGAGCCCCATATCGGGGCTCCCAGCTCGGCGGGGAGTCTGCTTCTGCCCCTCCCCCTGTTTGTGCTCTCTCTCAAATGAACAAATAAGATCTTAAAAAAAAAAAAATGAAGGGTAAGTGTAATTTTAATGAGGGAAGAATATAAACAGAAGGGATATTTAATCTATAGTCACATACCTCAAAAACATCTGTTTATACCAACTAAAGCACACGCTAAACACACACAATGATTAAGAGAACAAAGAATTCTTCATGGCAAAAGTCTTTTTCCCTTGTCAACGTACAGACCAAGTTTACGGCAAGTCTCACATAGACTCAGTGACTTCATGGCGGCCTCCTTCCCACTGGTCTGAGTTCACATAACCGCTCCATGGGAAGAAGAGCAAATGACAATAAAGTGATTGGTGGGAGTCCTTCAATTAATTCTGATGCACATTTAGAACTAAACTCCTCCAACTGTCAGTTCACCAAGAGAGAAATCTGGGACACTACCCAGTCAATCTAGGACAATCCCTAAAAAACCTGAAATCCTCTCTTAAAGCCTTAGAGGAAAAAAAACATTCTTCAAATTAACTGATTGTGGGAGGCCCCGACTTTCACCACTGGTCTCTCCCTCATTCCCTGAATTTCTCCAAGAAAAAATGAATAAATTCAGATGGGCAGGCTCAAGCTCTGCCCAGACATGAATAAGCGGCTCAAAGGAAGGGGAATAGGAAAAATGTGTCCCTCCTCCACCAGACATTCTGCAAACACATGTGTCTGAGTGTGCGCGGCCATTCAGCCCTTCAGCTCTCCTCTGGAAAAACACTTTCTCTCTTGTTTCAAAATGGATCATTCAAGGTGGCTTATAAAGGTAGAGATTTCTAATCTCTCGGTGTGTGAACAAGTGAGAATATGAAGAAGGGAAAATATGGGGAGAGAAGAGAAATGGAATCCAAGGGAAGGCTTTTACCCTCCTCTAGACTCATTCTGCATGGCCGGCACAAGCCCAACGGCCCCCCGACAGCATCCAGACAGAACTCGGACATGGCTGGTCCAAAGCAACGGAGTTCAAAGACTTAGTACAAAAACGGGAAACATATTTTTATATTGATAAAATGTTGAAGTGGTGATGTTTTAGATATACTGGATTAAATAAAAATTTAAAAATTATTTTCACTGGTTTCTCGCCTTTTTATAGTTTTTAATGTGGCTACTAGAAAATTTAAAATCACATATATGGTTTACATTGTATTCCCAGTGGACAGTATTGTACTACAGTTTTCTAGAGCCACTCTGCAAATTAGGTTCTGAACTTCCAATTAGCCAATTCGAAGAAGGAATTATAAAATGTACAGGTTAGGGGTGACTGGGTGGCTCAGTCGTTTAGGTGTCTGACTCTTCATTTTGGCTCAGGTCATGATCTTGGGGCCGCAGGATTGAGCCCCTGTCAGGCTCTGTGCTGAGCCAGGAGTCTGCTCAAGATTCTCTCTCTCTACCCCCCTCTCCCTCTGCCCCTCCCCCTCCTCTAACAAAATAAATAAAATTTAAAACATAAAATGTACCGGTTAGAGAAGGTAAAAATAAACCAGTTGCTCAGAAATATAACCATTTATTACAGAAGACTAGAGAAAAAGCACCCTGGGGGACCCTAGTAAGAAGATAACGTGACGTAAACAAACAGGGTCTTAAAGGCACAGCTGAAGGAGTCGAGGGAATGTGACAGAGCGCTTTCTCTTGTGGCCTCAGCATGGACGTCATGGGCCAGCAGCAGAATTCTGGAGCACAATTCAGAAGAAATGAAAGGCGCTGGCACATGCCAGGAGAAGCCTCCGGGGCTTCCGCAGAGCACACAGATCCCCATCCAGCAACTTGTAATGGCGACCCTTGAGAGACCGTCAACGCTGGCAGAGAAGACAGAGTAAACTGGAAATGACCGAGTTAAAACAGAACCCTGCTGTTCTTGTCAGTTAAGAACCTACTGTGCCCGAGAGTCTCTGCCACCGGTGGGCCCAGTGAATTCTCCTCTGTCTTAGATTAAGGGCTGGAAAGTTGGCCTAGCAAGCAGTGAGAGATGATGGGAGATTTCTCTCTGGGCAAAGTCACAGAATTTGCTGAAATATCCAGACAGATATTAACTTGTACATGTGGCAGATAGCAATATATACTTTTTCCAGTGGAAGGTATTTCTAGGCAATTAATGACACATAGATAAGTCCCCATGGGAAAACTAGACATCAACTGTCCACAAGGTTACTTCCTTAAAACAAAACAAAAAACCACCAAACCCCAGAGGTGGAATGAGAGTTCATTTTTGTTTGTATATCTTCACACTGCTTAGGACATGCTGGTTAGGACTATAAACCAAAGTGGCAGACCTTATACACCACACATGAAAATAAGACTCACAGTGAGTCAACCCTCACGAACTGGACATACCTCTGGCTTGTGCCAATTGGTGACTCAAGAGAACAGCCAGAAAACCCCAAGAAATCAACAAACACAAACGCTGACACTGACATTTAACACCTGCGGTGGCACTTACTGGCGTAATATGCTCATGACACTGATAGGCAGCACTGACAAACTGATCATATTCTGTAAGTTGGCAGAAAGTAAGCCATTAAACCCAATGAAGCAACATTCCCCTTCTGGTGACTGTCCTTGCTTGACTGAGTTCAAGCCTGTGGGCTTGAGGTCAGTGTTTCTGTACACTATGCACTTGAAACCCTGTCATCTTCTGTCTGGAACAATCACAGAGGCTTCTCCAGAGTAAGTATTTGTCAAGTGGCACAGAAAGTAAGTTGAGCGGCTGAGGGTCACAGCTGAGGCCCCAGGAAGCAGGACGGTGCTACAACTCTAAGTGGCTGGATTTAGGAAAGGGCCATTAAAGTGGGCACCAAGCAGTACTGAGTGGCAAGAAATGCAGTCTTGAATTCCAAGACCAAAAAGCAGGAGGCAAGGAGTTCTTCAGATTTTTCTGGGACAAGCAGCCATTTGAAAATGAGAGAAGAGTGATGTACCCTTCAAGAGGAAAAGGAAGTCTCGTGTGCCCTGTGGCTTAGCCACAGATCAAGCCCTGTTACAGGGAACTCTGTGTAAGCTCTGGGCTTTGGAAGTTCCCTTTTTCCAAAAGGATAAGCATCTCAACAGGAACTGCATCAACAACAAAAGGAGGCTGATGACTGGTCCTTCACTAACTTGTTTGCTTTTCCTAACCCGTTGGGTCAGGAGGCCAAGGATTACCTGCCAGATGCCGTGCCCTCTACAGAGTACAGCAGAGGGCACGTACAAAGACCATAAAAGGAAGAGGGGGGCTGTGCCGGGCCAAGCCGGTTTCTGAAGAACACCTCAGGGCAGCCTCCGACCTGCCCCAGCATCTGGCTCGCTATCTGAGAACTTACAGGTAGCAAAGGGAAAATGAAGACAGCTTTTCCAAAACGGACACTCATTTAAGGCCACAGAGTTTCTACCAGGAGCTTAGCTACGACAGAGCCGAGGAGCATGTGAAAAGGCAGTGGACATAGAAGGGTAGGTGGGGGTGAGGCTGTGGCACACGGGAGTGGCAGGGGCGGGGACAACGGAGGGACTGAGCCAGGACGGCGCTCTGTCAGGGTCAGTACACTGATCTTCAACTGGGGCCTTGTGCCTCTCTCCAGTAATGCCCCCAACCAGACACCTGGGTACAAAAAAAAAAAAACAACCAACCAACCATCAGGTATGAAAGAGAAGAACATCACTGGACTGGGAGGAGTCAGCACGAGCTCCAGAACTACTTCTGCTAAGCAGCCAAGTGTGTGAGAGCCTTCCTGGATCGCCTCTAGAAAAGGAAGCAGCTGAGCAAGTAACCCGTAGGGTCTTGGCCTCAAACTGTAAGGCCGTCACCTCCCTCAGGGAAGCAAGTGGGCTTGGTAGCACCTGGGGACAGGAAAAGTGGAGAAGCAGCCTTCTAGGAAATTCTGGATTTGCCTCTGCAAGAGGTTCACTAAGACGATGATGACACAGTGGACACCAGGTCCAATCAGTACCAAGAACGAGGGCGGGGCCTTACTGAGAAGACAGATTACAGTCACTGGGATAAGTACTACAGAAAAGGAAAATTAACCCACTTTCTCCCCTTCTTCTTGGTGAGGAAATACACAGGCATAAGAATGGTTTAAAACGGCCTTGGCAACCATGCTTATTTGGTTATGATGCTCTTCTTAGGGCAATTAACAAGGCATGAAGAAATCAGACATCAGTGGCTTTAGGAAACTATAAGGGATGACTTTCAAACCCTTGATTTTGAAGAAGACTAACTGGAAATGTTAGTCTGAATAAACAATCCAAGGAAAGACAGTCAGATCTTGGATAGAAGGAAGGGACTGAACCAACCATCCGCAAGCAATAAAAATGCACACTTTCCCACCACATCCCATAACTTCCTTTTCCCATTCCCCAAAACTGACATAAATGATAGTTCTGAAATGTAATTTCCAAAAATGCCAAAGCTTCTTGGTCAGTGAAGCAACTGTTTAGAAAAATAAAAAGGCAGACTTGAATGAATATACCTCCTTGTTCAGATATTTGTCTACATAATGGTTAGGACAGTCTGGCATTTTATTTGAGAGGCGATCTATACAATGAGTGAAACTAAATGAGATATTATAGGGACGTCTGGGTGGCTCAGACGGTTAAGCGTCTGCCTCCGGCTCAAGTCATGATCCCAGGGTCCTGGGATCAAGTCCCGCGTCAGTCTCCTTGCTCTGCGGGATGCCTGCTTCTCCCTTTCCCTTTGCCTCCCGCTCCCACTGCTTGTGCTCTCTTTCCCTGTCAAATAAGTAAATAAAATTTTTTTTTTTTTTTTTAAAGAGATATTACCTACAAAAGTGCCTAGAATGCTTAACTCACGCACGGAGTGCTATGCAAGTTAGGTGTGTTGTTAGAACACTCTCAATTGTGCTCGACTGACTGTATTTATTCTATTGTACTTCCCGACTTCCATGTCTTCCTAGCCTGGAAAACATAGCTTGGTTTACAAATTATATAAATGAAAATACAAGTTGTATTTTAAATTCTAAACCGTAAGCTAGATGATGAAATTTGTAGTTTCTGTAGGGAGTACTACGTCAAGTCATGCCTATTTTCTCCCAAAGTTTTCTCCATTTTTCATCATGAACTGCCCCCTGCCCAGTCCTTTAAGGTAGTAAATACTTTTCTCCAGGGGCCACATCTGACAGCTTCAGCAGAACTGCCATCATCCACCATTTTGTCCTTAGGATGATCTTCTCCCGCTTTTAAGTCTAAAATGGCTTTCAGGAGCTGATAACCCTCTGAAAATACTTGCTGAATTTTGCACCACAAAAGGAACAGACAGAATTTAAATGAAAAACTAAAGTTCAGGGGCGTCTGGCCAGCTCGGTCAGTAGAGCATGCGACTCAATCTCAGTGTGGTGAGTTTGAGCCCCATGTTGGGCATGGAGTCTACTGAAAAATTAAAAAAGAAAATACAGAAGAAAAAATTTCACTAATGTGAAGGATCAGGCACATTCTTCAACTGCTCAGAGAGCTTTTTTTTTTTTCTAGTGTTCACACTGAAAATGAAAGCAATGAACAATCTTCACCATCCAAATTTGTGGAAAAGTGCTCAGGCTTCAACACCGACCAGCCGTGCCTGCCTTGGGGCTTGGGCACATATGCTGGGGGAAAGCAGGCGCTCTGTGGGGAAGGCTGGAACAGTGGGAGTCAGGGTCCCGACAGGAAAGGGGGGAGCCCACCCACACCAGGAAGGAGCTCAGGTTCATATGATCAATATTCATAATACCTGGAACCCAGCAGGAACAAAACCGAAAGACCAGGATTCGCTGATCATGAAATAAGTATACAGTTGGATTATTTTTAAACTGACTTATCTGACAGCTTCTAACTAGTGACATACTTTAGGCAAGGAATTCCTCGTTGCCTAGATCCATGATGTCAAAACCGAGCACACTGGAGAAACGTATCGATCCAAAGAACTAGCTTTGTGCAATCTCAGCCCTGTGGTATGGCTCTGTTCCAGCGGTTCCCAGCTCTGCTAGACATTAGGATTTAGAAAACATCAATGGAGGGAGGTAAGGAAGAAGGTGCAAACCCTGCCATCGGCCATAAAAGCTCCTGGGGTGACCATCACGTGTAGCCAGGTCTGGAACCACTGGTTCAGACCCTGATCCTGTCGGTATCACAGCAGAGAGGCAAACTGTTCCCAGGGGCAGATCTCTCTGCTGCCTGCCAAAGCATTCAAGAAAGCATGTATCTGACTCAGCTGAGGGGGTTATTATTTCTCCATCCTCTCGACAGAGAGCTAAATGAGCTGCCCTAGTGGAGCAAGGCCAAGGGCTGGGAACAGCTTTTTAGAGTGCACGGCTCACATACTCAACAGGGAGAGCTGAGTTTCCCATTCCAGAGTTACAGTCAATTGCTTCTAGATTCGCACTGGGGTATGGATTGGGCTGAGAACTGTCTGGGGAGCCTCCAATTTCTAACATTCCCACCTGGTTAGTAAGTATTTTAGAAGTGAATACTTCTCCCCACTCCAGCTAATGCAGAAGGGTCACTAGAGACTAGACAAGATCATGACAGTTGGGGGATAAGTGATAAAAAGATTTCCCAGGAGGAAGGAGAGGTAAAGGAGTGCAATTTTTTTTTTTTTAAGATTTGTTTATTTTAGAGAGACAGAAAAGAGAGAGCAAGTGGGGGGAGGCACGGAGGGAGAGAATCTTCAAGCCGACTCCCCACTGAGTGTGGTCTGATGAAGGGCTTGATCCCATGACCCATGAGTTCAAGACCTAAGCCGAAACCAAGAGTCAAAGGTGCCCCCAAGGAGTGTATTTTTTGAACCTTTCTTGGGGATATGAGATGCAGGAAACTTTTTCTTAGCCGGGCCCATCACAAATTCATCCATAAAGTTTTACACTTTTAACACACACACAGACTGTCTTAAAAGTTGTCTGACATGGGAATATTCCCCTCTTCTAGCTGAAACAGCACCACCAATGAGGACTGGATCCCACCCAGCTTGAGCTGCCGGCTGCGGTTATGGTGGTAATACACACCCTCACGTCTCATTCAACAAGCTTCTGAAGAAAAGAGTCGCCCTTTGCTATTTGATAAAGTCATGTTATATTTTTAACCTGGTAGAGTAACTGGTCAAATCACAGACAGGACAACAGGCTTCATGATCTTTTTGTCCTTTGTTATTCTTAGCTCAACTTCCACGACTGAGGAAGAAGTTTTTTGTGTACTTATAAGAGTGTTAAAAATTTTTATCCCTTGTCAGCAGGAAAGACTTGGTCCTTCTTGTGCCTTTCACTCTGAATCTTGAACAGATTAGGTTGGAATGCCACTGGGGGAAAAATTCACTTATCTTTTACCATGAAGCATCAGCAAAAAAGTATATCAGGAGCTCAGTGATTCAGAATATAGGAAGGAAGGAGACTGTCCAAAACAGTGGTATGTCCAAGTTAACTCAGCATCTTAAGTAGTGTATAAATGTGTTTTTTTAAGATTTTATTTATTTATTTGGCAGAGAGAGAGAGAGAGCACAAGCAGGGGGAGTGGGAGAGGGAGAAGCAGACTCCCCGCTGAGCAGGGAGCCCAATGCGGGGCTCGATCCCAGGACCCTGGGATCATGACCTGAGCCGAAGGCAGACACTTAACCAACTGAGCCACCCAGGCGCTCCATGAATGTTGTTCTTCTCCCACTATGTTCGTTCCTTAAATGAAATTTCTAAAAATCGTGATAACTAGAATGACAGAGTTTCAATACCGCACAATATATCATGATCAGTCCAGTATTACTCAACAAGGAATCCTAACCATGAGTTTAATAGCTTTGTAACTTTCTCTATAATGTTCTGCTTATTAATAAAAGTCTTTAATAGAGATCACAAATTCTAAATCTGGTAGTTTCAAATTAATGAGGTGTCAGGCAGCCATGAGTTAAAATATAGATGTAGTATCGGTATTAAAAAGGATCCTACCACAGGAGTAAAATTTAGCATACAGCAATTCTTTCAGTAATTCAGAATACTTATTAACATTTCAGTTCATGTAAGATATTAATTTCTAGGGCAAAACTTAATAATGGGTAGGGTGGTAAATACCACTGTTAGCAGAAAAAATAAAAGCATACCCGAAATGCTACATTATCCTATAACAAGATATCCTTTTCCACGTCTGCCTCACCTTTTCTCCAACTAGCAGGACCGCTGCAGGATCTAGCATATGCCAATGCCCGGGGGCAGAGTGGGGAGCGTGCTGGTCCACAGTGACAGGGTCACTCTGGTATAGGAGCAAAGGCTACATCACATCAAAGATTTCCTGCTTCTAAGACAACCCAGGGGTCATAGCCAGCTCCAGGCCAACAGCACATACAATCCACACTGCAGAGGGAGGCCAGGCCCCCTTCACTCACCTTTCTTTTTTTGGCCAACTTGCTTGAATTGTCGAAGGCTCTCTTCTCCGAATCAAGCTTCTTCCCTGTGGAGGGCTGCTTGTCCTCGGGTTTCCTCGGACGGCCCCCCTTGCCAGGAAGCGGGGGTATCCGGGAAAGAAGGTCCAGGGTTATCTTCACCATCAAGATTGGAGGGGGAGGAGTGTCCCTGAGCGGGGACAGCAGCTTGGGGTCTCTCGCGGGCCCCGGGAGCTTGTCCTTCCTGCGGTCCTCCTGGACGACCACAGCGCGCCGGCAGCCACTAGTCCTGCTGCCACCGCTACCGCCGCCACCGCTGCCGCCGCCGCCGTGGGGTGGGCCCTGGCTCTGGGTCAGGGGAACCAGGGCAAAGTGCTCGGGGCTCCTGGCCCCCGCATTGTCCTTCGTGGGTTCCGGGCCCGAGAGCGCCTTTGAGGGGGCCAGTGGCGCGCTCCTGTGCTTCTTCCGCTCACTGGGGCTGGGCGCCGCGGGCTTGGGCTCTCTGCTGTCTCCGGCACGGGGCCTCCCTTTCGTCTTCACCTTGGGCTTGTCTTTGGAAGGCTGGTCTTTGGAACCGTACGGAGGGGGTCCTGGCTCACTTTCCACCTGCAGACTGGCCCGCGAGTCTGCCTCGGCCGAGGCCTTGACAGGCTTCTTGGGCTGTTTGGTTCCGACAGTCTGCCTCGGCGGGGGCTCCTGTTGCGCGGGGGACTTCTGACAACTTCTCTTGCCGGCGTGGGGGCCTTCAGAGGAGCTCCGAGGGGCTTTGCAGGAGCTTTTGAGGGGAGGATCTTTGGATTCCGAGCGCTCGTGACCAGGGGTGGGGCCACCGCTGTCGCCCCCACCCTTGCCCTTACTGTCGGGGTGCCGAGGCGGGGGCTCTGCGCTCCCCTGAGCCTCCGGGGGTGCTGCCGGCTGGTTGACTTTGGTCAGCCAGTTGTCCAGCTGCCATTTGTTTGTTGTAGGAGGCTCAGGCTAAAAACAAAGGACAAGAGAAAAATGTGAACTGACCAAGGATGATAAGCTCTTCTGTGTTAGTCAACCAATTGTATAGCACTCTCCCAGGGAGATGCAATCATTCCAAAACCTAAGAATTCAAGTCCTTTTTATCCTTCTCTAATTACAGGTCAGAGTCTCTTAATAATTAACTCTTAACCCAATCTTCCAATCTGTTTGTGCTACAGGAATTTTTGCTGTAGCAGATACTGACTACTGACAGACCATGAAATACCCACCACTGACCACTGCTGAGAAATCTTTGTAATATTAAGTATTTTGTCCTAATGGTAATTACAGTGTAATTGAGAACTGACACATTTCAGCTCGTAAACTATTCGAAAATAAAGGGAGAAATGAAGAATAAACAGAATCCTTTTATCAAAAGGATTTTCAGAAGGCTATTAAATAATTCTTAGTGATTACCTATAGGCTTTACCCTGTTTTTTGACATACCTGTCAACTGAAAATGACTTTCCTCAAGACTTGACCTCATCTATTTACTTAAAAACATTAAACATTTATACATGACAAGGTTTGCAGTATATCATGGATTACAGCCTGATTTTCAAATTTTGCATCTTGGTAAAAGAACAAGTGACGTCACATTAACCAATTAAATTCGTCCCTAAATTTAGTCCCACTTGAATTCTTTAAAAATCAAACATTAAGTCTCTTGTTACGATCTTATCTGAAATAGCATCTATTTTTCTAAGAAACATAGGGAGGCTCCAGAGCAATTAAAAACAGTGAGATTAGACTGATTATATGTACATCTAATCTGACGAACACACAGAAGTTCCTGACTTCTGCTTTCTTAACTGTTGTTTAAATCTTTGTTGCTGACTATGTATCTCATCATGTCTCTCCAAGTAGATTATTAACAGAAGACCCAATGACATTTGTATCTCCAAGTTCCACTATATCTTGCATATAGTGGTGTACATGAGATATTTACTTAGGCATATTACTTATGCCATATGGAAACATATCAGTGTCTAAAAGAGTAAGCAATGATCACACCTTTTGAAAGGGCATTACATCACCGACACGCTACATGTTTTTAAAATCCATTCATTCTGATGGGTGGTTTGTATGAATGACTAAATCACATACACACAGTGCAAGAGGAAGTTAACTGAACGATAGTCCACACGGGATTTAACTGGTTAGATGATGGATAAGGAGACTGCTCCAGTAGGCGGATGGTATTTTACAGGGAAAGATTGCTAACAATTTTCCCGAGTGGAACGTACCAAATAATTCAACTCTTTAAAAACACATCAAGACAATGTGGATATAATGTAAAGAGTTTGGAGCCAGGAAAAAGGTAATAAAATGATCAGGTAGGTAGTTTGGGCTTGGTGTTTTACAGTAAAAGAGGAACTTTAAGGAACCAGGTAGGACCAAACTTCGGCCACAAAGAGGGCTGCAGAACTGTTTTTTCTGCCTACCCTTTTATTGCTGCTTAATATAATATATCTCCTCAATATCAACTCTACATCTAGGCTCTCATTTGAATTTCAGAGCAGGGAGGAGGGGAAGAAGGAAACTACTCTAATGTGCCAGGCATTTATTTTGCCACAGGAGATCTCCAACTGTATTCCATATTCGAACAAGACAGGAGGACAGGACAGGGTGGAGAAAAGATCAGCACCCAATACCTACTTGTCAAACGATATTTCCTGCAAACACTTTAGGGTGTGGTAATCCAGGTGGCTCACTGGGGACGAGGCATTAGGATATATCACTTGCCACTCACCTTAGGAACCAAACCCTTCAAACTCTTCTTTGGGACGGGTATGGACCTCTCAACAGGGCTAAGTTTATAGCCCCATTTGAATCACTGACATGCTCTATAGAAGAGTATTTATTCATGAACCAAAAAGGAGAGTCATTCCTGGTATAAATAACATCTGCTCTCCCCCCACCCCAAAACAGGGCAGTATAAGATACATTTAGTAGGAATGTCCTACTAAAGGAATGTCCTGATTACAGAAATAAAACACATTTTCTTCCACTGTGGTCCTAAAAATGTCCAGAAGGGAGGCATATGGCCCAATTGCAGGGTAAAATTGAGTTTATGTGCCCAGGCAAGAAGAAAGGGTAGGGCCAATCCTTTCTACAGACCTGCTATAAAGACAGAAAATGTACAGAATTCTTCTAAGGTCAGATATTTGGGTGTTGGGATGGGGAAAACTTTAACATAAGGGATTGACTCAAATTGATTTCACAGTGAATTTTAAGTCTAAGTGCTAGGTAGGATCAAGGTTTGGACTCTGCTTTCTTGCCCTGCCTTTCCTTGAGCCCCATCGCCAGCCTCCCAGGGCTGGTACAACCCAAACACTGCACACTGGGCATGAAAAAATACCAGACTGGTCTTCGTTAGGTGTTTTCATAAATGTTTGACTGCACGTCCCTTTATGTCTAACCCCTCAAACTGTCAGAAGTTCATGTATTTTAGGATGAATTGTGATGTTGAATAAAAAGTTCTGAGCTATGCACAATTTTTTTTTTTTTTTTTTAGTAAAATCATCATCATTATGAGTAGGAGTCCTAAAATGAAAGAAAAACGAGAGAGGTGTGAGAGAGAGGCATAGTGTCATAGGAAAAAAGGCTTCAGAGTTAGATGGCCATGGGCCTGAATCTTGGTGTTGCTACCTTTTTACAGGTGAAAAGACAGCTCCCAATCTCACAGGGTTGGCAGAGAGCTAAGTCAAATAATTCATGCAAAAGTACCAAGTGTCTAAGAAGCAAATCAACAAAGGTAGTTTACTACAGAAAAAAAAAAAAGGACAATGAATAGATTAGAAAAGTAAGGAGATCCTTGGATAACTGAGAATAGAAGCATTTTTTCTGAACTGAAGCAGGAAAAAGATGACTCGTCCTACATATTTTGAAAAGCTGAGATTCACATTTTGATTCACACTATAAAGCAGACACTGAAAGAGCCTTTCCCTCAAGTTCACCGCCCACCCACCAACAGGCATAGGACATTTCAGATCTCTTAAGATCACTGGACTACTTTGTCAAATGACCTTAAAATGGAGCCGTAAAAATTCTCTAAAAAAAATCTAAAAATAGATTTAAAAAAGGGTGAGAAAGTTAAAACTAGTAACTGTGGCTTATTGTGGAATTCTTGTTACTCTCACACAGGAGATTTACCATAAGGCAGGTATTGAAGGAGAGAAGGTACTTAAATACACTGGGAAAAATTAAAGGTTTAAAATCTAGACCCAGACAAAATATTTCTGGTGAAGTCAAGTGTCAGGACATGACATACAAACTGTGCCCAAATCTAGATAGATTTGCTCATCAACACAAAGGTACAAATCTGAGCCTATTTGGTAAGGTGCTTTAAAAAAAAAAAAAATAAAGTAGAATGGGAACATTTATTTTTTAACTAAGAGTCTCTAAATCTACTCCAGTAACCTTCTGAGCAGTAAGATCTAATGGTTTCATTAATACAAACACCAGATTAAATTTTTCTTTCAAGTTTCAATTATTCAGCCAAATCTGTACCATTTCCATTTCATTTGAACGGAATTTTATTATTTAATCCAATTCTCTTCCTTCTCTTAGTAACTGAACAAGCATGCAGATTTCTCTAATTGAATAAGGTGAGACATAAAGCAAAGATCTTATAAAAGGGAACAATCACACAATTTGTCTGTGGAGCATATTCAATATCTTTTTCCCTGAGGCACAGAAAAATAATTTCAATGGTAATTAGTATCACACAAGGAAACAGCCCCCAGAAATATACAGAGGAGTTTCCAAAATCTGAAAGGCCTTTTAAGTGCAGTTAATGCTGATTCATGTGTATTCACTCCAAAAAATATTTATTGAGCACTTACTCTGTGCCAGACATAAATTCATATCTAACAAAAAAATGACACTCGGTTATTTTTCCAGCCTCCCTTGCCCTTGGCCACGGCTGTTAAGGCTCACTACATGTCCTCCAGATGCATTCAGTCAATGCTCTAGTGGAACTGCCTTGGTTGCTAAATGGCAAAGACAAATACTGGGAACCTTAACGCTTTCTTAATCAGAAAGGCTCATTTTCCAGGATTCCCATCTAAAACATGCAGAGTAATTTTCACTATATAAGCTGGTCTAATTCACCAAGAATGTCTTTCTTCCCTTTTTACCAAGTAGTCTTCCCCCGCGTAATTTTTACATTGCTACTCCAAGTTTTGAGGGCATCTGGCAACTCTGATTATTGTCATTAAACTTCTTGTGCTCAACGATCCGGTAAAAAATAGCATAAATCCTCCAGATAAACTTAGTGCTTGCGATTTACCGTCTCATCAGTTTATCTTACAACATCGATGTCCCAAGGGCGGGTGACAGGGAAACACAATTATCCCTGTTTTACATGGAGCAAAGGGAGCAAGAAACACAACCCTGGCAAAACCACTTTGCCATCAATTTAATGCATGGCTTTTAGTGATTCAAAAATAGAACCTCTGATGACTTATTTCTAGTTCACGTTCCTGCCCTTTGCCAAATTGGGCTGTCTCCTTTTGATTTCCTTAATTCATGCATTCCTGAAATTTCAAAAAGAATTTTCATTAAGATTGAAACAGCAGCCTACTAAAAAACGAGTTTTCTTTTTCAACAGAAGGGAAAAGAAAATGGTGTGCAAACATTCTTAGTGAGTTGCTCTTCCAAACAACACTAGCAGCAACAGAGAACTTATCATTTTAAACAGGAGAGAGAAGACCGCTCTCCCAAACCTCTAGGGCCAAATGTTTGGTAAGAAGTAAACAGAAATGGCTGGCTCTACACGGCCCGGGGGTAGGAAAAGAGCTGCCCCATGGGACAGAACAACTCAGGCCAGGGTCAGCGCTGGCCCACAGCCGACTCTAGCCCCGGAAGTCAGAGCGCTGCTATCTTAGCTCGCCTCTCTGCCTCCTGGAGGGGACACGGTACCTCAGGAGCCGGAGTTTCTAGGGGCTCATTCTCTTCGCTGTCACTTGAGCTGCTCTCGCTCTCCGAGTCCGAGGAGCTGTCTGAGTCACTGGTGCTCTCTGACTCGGCACTGCTGGAATGTGCTGAGGCCGCTGCTTCCGGAAGCGACTGCGGAGCACTGTGAAGTAACCCCAAGAGAGAATCTGAAGACACCTCACAAGGTGGATGTTGTCCCTCTCTACTCATTTCCCCCCTTGGCCATTGTTCTGCTACGCAAAAGAAAGGGCCTCAATATTACCTAATATTACTAAATTACCATACCATCCAGTTGAGAGAAAGGCCCAGAGGGGCTCAAAAACCAGTGAAAAATCCTTAAAACAGCTCACCAAATAACTACATAGAAGAGAAGCCTGTGGAATTTTGCTCCTGAAGAACACTGTGAGCTACACAAAATTTACGTTCAACGGTAGTGCTTTCTATCGGAATTTGGTAAACCACAGCATGGACAGGCCGCCTATTTTTCTAAATAAAGTTTTATTGGAACATGTCCACACCCATTATTTTATGTATTATCTATGTCTGCTTTTATACTATGGAAGTAGAGTTGAATAGTTTCAAGACAGGCTAGATGGCCCACAAAGGCTAAAATATTTACTTTCTGACCCTTTTAAGTTTACTTTAAATGGATATATATATTAGGCCAAAGAAGTTAATTTCTAAAAGGACAGCCAATACATTAAAATCTCCCTCTATTCTCTATATGAAAACTAACCAAATGGTAGCCAGAGAACTACTAAATACAATATATTGAATATGAATGGTGTTCCTCTAGAAAGTGACCTCAAAGGTAATCCAGTCACACTCTTGGGCAGAATTATAAAAGAAGACTTTCTTTATGAGAGGCTTAGGATCACCCCCAAATACCAGCCAAAGTAGAGATTAACTACTCCAAGTTTTAAGAATAGGGCAATCAGGGCTCAGATGGTTAAGCGTCTGCCTTTGGCTCAGGTCATGATGCCCAGGTCCTGGGATCAAGCCCCATGTCCAGCGTCCAGCTCCCAGCTCAGCGGGGAGGAGTCTGCCTCTCCCCCTGCTTGTGCTCTGTCTCTGTCTCTCTCTCTCTCAAATGAATAAATAAAATCTTAAAAAAAAAAAAAAAGAATAGGGCAATAACTCTAGGTCAGTGAGAAAACACACACTGATCGTACTTCTGGACACATACAGAATTTCACAACCTGTGTTAAAAGCTTGCCCCAGATGGAATCAGCCAGAGCAGTAAATCAATAACTATAATCTTTTGAAAGCCTCCACATCTACCTAAGATACTAAATAACTTATTAAATAATACTGTTTATTAAAGTAAGTAGAACAAAAAAATATTAAAGTCACTAGTTGAAGTAATTTTAAAACACACACACTATACTATGATGTAATTTCCTCATATAAAAATGCTACATCAAGTTTGTGATCACTTGCACACTGGTAGCTTAAGTCAGTGATGAATGAGATGCACTTTCAATGTTATTGCTGCTTCTAATTTATGCCCACTTTTCCTTTTTTCTTTTCCTACACTTTTAAGTTAGGCTATTTCATCATAATTTATGGGACATTACAAGCCACCAGAAATTACTGAACAGACAGAATATAAATAAATGAGCAGAGCTTATGAATACATGATCTTCCTCCACATGAACTATAACATCACCTGTTCGGCAGAAAGGGTTTCTTGCTGCGCTTGTCTCAGAATGGATGACCACATGTCAAGGAGTACAACCACTACCGCACAGTTTAACTCTTCGTCCATGGAAGGCAGGTATTGGTATATTAAATCATTAAATTCAGTATCAGAGGAAAATATTATAAAGGTAGTTCAGACAACTCCCACTCCCAAAAATTAAAGCATCTAATTTTCTGAAATATGGCTGCAGTTTACAAAGTGAAAAGAGTGCATCACACTAAAATGCACTCTAGCTCATTTTTAAAAGCAACTGAGGGGCACCTGGCTGCGCTCCATCGGTAGAGCATGCAACTCCTGATCTCAGGGTTGTGGGTTCAAGCCCCATGTTGGGTACAGAGATTACTAAAAATCTATTTAAAATCTATTTATTTACTTACAAAATGAAGTAAGATAAAATGAAGACAGCTGAAACAATTAGAAATTCATGACTGAGAAAACAGGAACTATGGAAAAAAATTTACAGAAATGATTCAGCTTTACAATTTTTGAAAACAGCAAATAAATCTCCCATAAAAATTTGCATAAAAACATTAGGCTTTTCAGCATAACTTTTAAAATACTGGTTATATAATACTGATGAAAGTGATTTAAGCTTATTTTTAAACTCTCAAAAATTATTTAATTAAAGATTTTATTTATTTGACAGAGAGAGAGAGAGTGAGAGAGCGCGCACAAGCAGGGGGAGCAGCAGAGGGAGAGGGAGAAGCAGACTCCCCGCTGAGCAGGAAGCCTGATGTGGGGCTCTGTCCCAGGACCCTGAGATCATGACCTGAGCCAAAGGCAGATACTAACTGACAGAGCCACCCAAGCACCCCCAAAATTTTATTTATTTTTAAAGATTTATTTACTTGAGAGAGTGAGAAAGAATGAGCACAAGGGAGAGGGGGGGCAGAGGAAGACACAGACTCCCTGCTGAACAGGGAGGCCAACTCGGCGCTCGATCCCTGGACCCTGAAATCATGACCTGAGCCGAAGGCAGATGCTCAACTGACTGAGCCCCCCAGGCACCCCATGAAACTCTCAGAAATTTTAAACATCCAAACTGATGATTTAGGTGGGTACAGGGACTTTCTCTTTTATAGAGCTAACAACCTCTCCAAGGCTGATTTAAGCTTCCAAGAAATTAAACAGGTACTTTCTTCTAACTGTGATCCTTTATGTCCTTCCCCATGAAGAAGCTATGAAAGCACTAAATAAGGCTGTTAAGGCTATATTTTCCCCATTTGGTAGAAAAATGCAAACATTTTGCTCACACACGCACACAATACCTTGGAGGTGCAGATACAGGAGGAGGCTTCTCTGGGCTCTAGGTATTCACAATAAGGGGAAGGAGGATCAGGAAAAGAACAAACAACAGGTTAGGATATGCAGCTCAGAAATACTAGATTTAAAAGGATTCCTGGTATGATGGGGTGTACGAAACTTACTTGTTCGCTGTCACTGTCCTCACTGTCACTGAGCTGAAGGTCATCTTCAAGCATGCTGAAATGGGCAGGGACAAAGACATTGTAGGATTTAAAATAATTTCTAATAACTTATTTTAGCATATAAATAGAAAATATGCTTAATGATTAAAAAAAGAGGGATGCGATAGGTCTAATTTTTATTCATCAAATGCTTCATTTTCCTGGAAATGTAAGGTTTACTATTATAACAAAGAAACTAGTTTAGTCTATGCTCCTTACTTACCATCAAGACTGACTCTTCCACACATTGAGCATTAAAAAGCAGAACCACCACGGGACAGGGATTTGTGGCCAGCCCCGAGACTCAAGTTCCCAGGTCCACACAAACAAAACAAACAATAACAACAACAGAGAGAAAAACACCCTACTTTGTCCTATAGTCTCCAACTAGAATAAGTGATTAACCGTTAATAAGCTAACCCTGGATAAATGAATATTTGTGAAGTATTGGGAAGTGCATCAGGGCACTTAAGAAGTACTCTATGTGAACTCAATACACAGTAAGAGAAAGAGGGAGCTATTGCGGCCACGGTCACCAAACCGTGCAGATATCTTCCATTTCTGTCCAAAGGACATTATTAATATGGTACTTTACTTTTCACCGCCCCCCTCCGACATACAAATTCTCACACACACAGTCTGCTTAAACACTATAATCAGTTGAAAGAGTAGTAATACAAATAATCTTGTTGTCTAGAAAATATGTTTAACCTTACTGCTATCATTCTGGTGAAAATAAAACCTCAGTTCACTTCCTCAAAGTTATCATAATACTTATCTCTAGGCATTCTGGTTTATGAGCAATCTAAATATTAAAAGCAAATAAGATACTTCCATTTTTAAAAGGTCATTTTCTAATCTGTACATGTTAACTGAAATCTTAGCCCTTCCCTATCTCCTCCCTCTCTTACCATCTTCCAGGGGGATGCCTACGTATCAAAAGAATGAATTAGTCGTTAATTGCTTGCTCCCACTTCCCCCCAAATTTATGAGGACTATTTGAGGAAATGTTATTAGTGCAAGTGAAAACAAAACCAATCTGCTTAAGTATTATTAATGCTCCAAAAAGCAAAAATTATATTGGAGGTTATAATACTTTAGCATTTCTGGGGTGCCTGGGTGGCTCAGTCATTAAGCGTCTGCCTTCGGTTCAGGTCATGATCCCAGAATCCTGGGATTGAGCCCCTCATCGGGCTACCTGCTCGGCGGGAAGTCTGCTTCTCCCTCTCCCACTCCCCCTGCTTGTGTTCCCTCTCTCGCTGTGTCTCTCCTCTGTCAAATAAATAAATAAAATCTTAAAAAATAATACTTTAGTATTTCTAAAAACATCTCTTCAACAAATAATCTGACCATTGATTTTTACTGCAAACCCACTAACCTGCCACTGAAATAAGCAAGCATGATTATTTTGGGAATCCTTGGTAAAATCATTATATTTTCTAATGAAAATAAAAGATAAAACTTGGCTCTTTCATAATGACCACTTACATGCAATGTTGTAATTCTGCCAAGGAACTATTTTCACCAACAAATGGTACTAAAACTATCCTATGATAAGTTTCTAAAAAATATGAAAACTGTTAGCTACTTGTAAATGTAGATGCTGCTCGATATTTACCTAATGAGAGCTACCTTCTTATTTTAGCAAGGCTAGAAAACACAGCCTTCAGATGCAGGACTTGGCAGTAGATATCATAATGGTATACAAGAAAAAGTCACTCAACAGTGTTACTGCCAAGTCCTGTCTTGGCTGGGGCATACCCAAGCAAAAGATAAAAGATGTATCTTTGAATAAATGTAAGGCATAACACAACCAGGAAAAAAAAAACCCCCAAAACAAAAAACCGACAGCAAAACCACAGTAAGTGGACCTCTTTGTTTCTTAGTCACTGGCTTTTGTATAAAACTGATTTGCTTTAATTTCCTGAAACATCAATGATCAGGTAACCAATCACACTTCCTGATGTAAGCAGGGGGCTAAATACTCTGTAAGCTGTCCACCTGGCTTCCACAAATATATTCTCCTAAAGTAAGTCAAAAAGCGTATGTTCTGACTTTTAGCTCTACTTGATCTTAAGGAATAAAAGGCACTGTAAAAATGCTGTCCCAGATTCCAAGAATTTCCCCTTCAGAGCCTTACGTAGACAATAACAATATAAGCTGGCAGGTATGACACCTAAAGAGATGAGGGATAGTGACCTCTGAAGGAAGAGTGCTCCAGATATCGCCGAAGAAACACTCAAAAAGCAATGATAAACCAACAGGGTCAAACAAAATCTACCACTATGTAGGATATACTGGTTATTTATACATGGTATTTCATTTAATCAAAATTCATGGTTCAATTTATTTGATAAAAAATTAGTTTGTTGGTTTTGTTTTTGTTTTTTTAAAGAATAAGTTCTGACAGGCCCAATGTGGGGCTTGAACTCACGATCCCAAGATCAAGAGTCGCATGCTCTATCAACTGAGCCAGCCAGGAACCCTGATGCAAAAATCAACAAAGTGTATTGTCAGTGTCTGCCACGCTGCTAAGAGTAACATGGAATCTTCCAGAAACCAGCATTTATTATATCACCAGATGGGTAGCTCAACATAAACCAGCATACTATTAGTGGGGCTAAGAAAGATACTTCTAAAGTTCTTTATAACAAACCTGTCCTGAATCTGTAGTAAGAAAAAAAAGTTACTTAAAAACCGTATCTAAGTTTTACTAATACAGAAAATTAATCATGAATACCACTGTGATTTAAAAAAAAAAAAAAAAAAAAAAAAAGAGGGGCGCTTGGGTGGCTCAGTTGGTTGGGCATCTGCCTTTGGCTTGGGTCATGATCCCAGAGTTCTGGGATCGAGCCCCACGTTCTCCCTCTCCCTCTGCCTGCAGCACCCCCTGCTTGTGCTCTATCAAATGAATGAATACAATCTTTATAAATAAATAAATAAATCCATACAGTTGGGGTAAATCTAACCTGATAACCGGTAAAGGTTTTATCTTTAGAGATAAAGGAAAAAATTTAAAGGAAGCAGCTGCTAAAATCCCCAACTTGTCCCACAAACAGTTATGTCTGAGGCCAAGCACATTACTCTAGCACACTTCACGTGGTACATGTGAGAGAACTGGTCCTTAATGTGAAAAATGGCAAAAACAAATTACAGCACATCTGGGTGACCACCTCGGCACCCACTAGAAGGGAATCAAACCTCTTAGACCCAGTCTCACTCATACTGTAAGATCTAGGTCAAGAGAGCATACGGCCCAAGGGACATACTCAACTATAAGCTTTTCTGGGGCAGGACCAAGTCATTTTCACCTTCATATCTTCCATATCCAGAACTTGGCAGGTAACCCCTAAGAGGCCAGCTGAATGAGTAGCAGCACCCTGTTTGCTGCATAGGTAACAGTACCGCGTAGCTGTGCCCACTGTGTGCTCAGAACTCTGCCGACACTGCCTTTACTCACAACCCTATGGCCGCCTCTGATCATGCCCTCACATTCTGAGGGTGAGGAAACGGGCTCAGAATGGCCACTGACCCTGCCCACATCATGAAGCTGGTACATGCTGGATCTGGAAGGCAAAGGCCATTCCGTCTCATTCGATTGCCTTGCTCCGGCCAATAGAGGGCGCAATGGCTAGAAAACCTACACGATAGGAGAGATTCTCCAGAATCCCCGGAGAGAAAGACTTCGATTAAAGAAAACAGTAATTACCCTGCTGGAATAAAATGGATACGCTCTTTTTCCCTTACGAAAATAAATGAACTATAAACCTTATATACTTTTAAAATTGGTTAAATGACTAATTTCACTTCCAAAAGCCAAGACAAAGCAGCTATTTCAAAGCATATGCCACCCTATGGCCTACCTTGGCACTGGTCAAAAGAAGCCAAATACTCAGGTAGAGCCACTCTTTGAACTAACACGTAGGTTTAACCACATTTTACATTACTGGTGAGGTAGAGTTTTTACTTAGAGGTTACAAACAATCCTCACACTCCTTTGTACAAATGCATTCTTCAGGCCAACTGCTCTGCAACGCTTAGAGAGCCATGTGCACGTCCCGGCAGGCAGGCTTCAGTGACTCAGAGCCTGACTGTTCCTGTGTGAAGACACACAAGACAAGCCTTTATTCCTTTTCCGTTCCCCAGTCCTGGGCTTGCCAACGACTTCACTGCCAATAGTCCGTAACATCTCAATTCAAACCCCAAAACTACTTAAATAAGCTGATTTTTTGGCTCAACATTTCCTACGACTGGGCCGTACGTTTTATTTGGGAAACAGCAAGTGAAGGCAAGCTCACGGTAATTAGTAAGTCACAACCCTGGTATTAGGTGTGCGTAAGACGGCACGTAATACTTTTCAGAAACCGCTAATGAACATGTGAGAATGGGTGAACTTGAACAATCTCACAAACTGAAAACTGATTTGGGAATAGAACAGGCAACGGAGGGCAGAGAAAGAGAAAGAGGCTGGGCTCCAAAGCAGACATATGTAAGTCCCCAAATCTAAAATCCAATCAGGCTGTGATTCCTTTTTTTGATCAAGGGCGGAAATACGGACTGCAAATGCTTTGCAGGAGATGAGGGAAGGAGACAAATTATGAAGAAGGCTCCACATATAATAAATGAAAAACTGAAAAAAACAAATCTCAAGCAGTTGTGACACTGCATATAGGGGGGACTCTCCAAATGGTGACAGTGGCTGTCACTATTCAAATTCAGGGAGGGACGGTCTATGGGAGATTATGGACAAACAAGACAGAGCAGAAAGTGACAGTACACAGAGTAATCAAGGTTAAAAACTGTCAGAGGTGTAAAAGACTTTAAAACCCATGGATGAAGTGAAGATTATCTGAGGTCACAGAAGGACATGAGAAAAATTACAAGAGTATCAATGAGGGGAAATCTGAAGTTAATAAATAAGATTAAATCAGTAAGTATAACAGGGATGCCTGGCTGGCTCAGTTGGTAGAGCGTGTGACTCTTGATCTCTGGGTTGTGAGTTCAGGCCCCATGCTAGGCAGAGAGATTACTTAAAAAAAATAAGTATGACAAATAAGATATTAGTGCAAGAATGACATACTGGACAACCAGGAAAAACCTAGAAAAGTCATTGCCTTAAATCCTGTGTATTAACTATTGTTTATACACGTATTTAATCAAGTTTCTATATAATAGTTTTCTTTCCACATTTACTCTTAGTACTTACTACATGCCAGGCCCTGCTCTAGATTCAGTGGATACAACTCTAAGCAGACAAAATCCCTGCTTTGTGGCACTGACAGTCTAGGAGATAAACAACTAAAATATATACTTTTCCCTTACGAAAAGGGAAATAAACAACTAAAATATATATTTTTTTCAATGGGTAAAAAGCCTATGGAGGGGAATAAAAGAGTAAAGGTGGGCGTGGGTTGCTTTTCTACATGGGGTAGTTAGGGAAGTCTGCGCTAGTAAGGAGATTGCATACACCACAGGAATAGGGGGTAGAGTGATCGGGGCACCCAAAACAGCAAAGAGGGGGCGCCTGGGTGGTTCAGTAGGTTAAGCATCTGCCATCAGCTCAGGTCATGATCCCAGGGTCTTGGGATTGAGCCTCACATCAGGCTCCCTGCTCAGTGGGGAGCCTGCTTCTCCCTCTCCCTCTGCACCTCTCCCCCAGCTTGTGTTCTCTCTCTCAAATAAAATCAAAAGAAAAGAGAAAAGAAGGAAAGGAAGGGAAGGGAAGGAAAGGAAGGGCAGGAAGGGCAGGAAGGGCAGGAAGGGCAGGAAGGGAAGAAGAAAGAAAACAGCAAGGGGGCCAACATGGCCACAATGGAAAGTATACCAGAATATGGGGGAAAAGGGATCGTAAGGGGGGTAGACAGGTAAGTTACTGACAGGCTTTGGAGGCCCCTGCAGGGTGAGACAGAATACACATTCTTGTGGAAGTAGACCACATCTTGTTGACTTAATAGCCCAGCATCCCACAGTGGGTGGAAGGTACAAACTGCCTTCAGGGCTAACAGATTCTTAGCGCATTAAAACATATCTTATTCAATCTTTCAGGCAATGTTTAAATTAGTCTATGGTCACTTACTGCAAGAAATTAGCAGTTATGACCAAATGTGAGACTTAAATGGACCTCCACAAGCTCCTTCAAAACCTTTACATAGGCAAACGAACTACTTCAAAGTTGTCACTGCCAGTAAGAACTACTACTCCCCGATGTTTTCAAATGGCTTCAGAGCCTGCTGCAAAATCTATCAAGCCCCTTTAGACGTAGCAGAAATTCTCTGCCTCGCTCTCCCATCATTCAGGCTCCAGATCAAATGTCACTCCTCTGAGAGACCTTTCCTGACCTCCCTCCCAAAAGTATCACCGCCACCCAAAAGAACTGCTCCCTGAGCCTGTAGCCATCACAGCACCTAGTTTATATGCCATGCCACCCGCATTAAGTTACAAGACAAAAAGACAAGAATTTTGTCTCAGCGGCCACCGTTTCCAAGTCCCTAAAGCAGCACCAAGCACACAGCATGTGTTCACTAATTATGCCCTGAATGGATGAATGGAAGCAATTTTTGGAAAGATCTCCAAGTCACCTGGAACCAAGTCCAGAGAATAATATTGTATCTGAGGATTCCCAAATACTAGCAACTGAAAGAAAAAGCATTAAGACCTAGATTGAGTTTTAAAACCACAGTACACATGATCCCAAAATGAACGTATTTTTCTCTGACATTCAAAGTGCGTTAGACCATCTCTCTGGCACTCTGCCGCTCAAAGAGTTTCAGTGCATGTCAAAGAGCCTGCACGCTGACACTAGATCAAATTAACCTGTGAGCACCAACAGATGTGACCTACTGAGTCTGAAACCATGACTGCACTGCACAAATTAACTGGGACACGGACGTGATTCCTTTTCCCCAGAGGTACATTTCTGGCTCTTATCGATGCCACCAGCCCCACCCGTCGGGCCACCACCATACCCCCCTCGTTCTCTCCTCCTCTGTCACACTTCCCTTTCCTCTTTGCCTCCTTGGGGCCCTGTCTTCCTCCCCTCCTTCAGTCTACCAGGATCATAATAAATATTCTTTTCTAGGTGATTTTATATATGGCAAATGAACAGTTTTGTAAAGAGAGCACTACCTATGTCATATGCCTGTCACGCACTTGCAGGCACCTCTGATTTCTGGGCTTTAACTCAGCAGGAGGACGGCCCATCTCTCTGAGGAGCAAACCCAGCACAGAAAATGGTCTAAGTCCCTACGACTACCCGAGCCTGAAAGCTGATGGAAATGGGTGTGAGAGGGTATGACTTTGGCCTGCTCAGTGTGAAGCTGCTTCATGGGCCTCGCTCACATCCAGTGGCCTTTCCTCCTCTCCCCACAGGCCCAAGGACACAGCGGCTTCCTTTCCTCTTCAATTCCCCCTTCCTCGCTGCCCCCAAAAACACAGACAGGGGCCTTTTATGGTCTAAAGGGCTTTACTACCAATCGTTACAAAGAGCACAAGGTGTAAAACCTTGGAGGAAGTTAGAGCTTCCACAGAATCATTACAATTGCAGTCCCTTGAACTACAGTTTCTGTTCTCTACCAGCCATCGATTCTAGACTTCCAAAATTCAGGAGCCAGTAAAATTTAAAAAGGAAGGAAGAAAGAAGGGGGGGGGAAGGGAAAGAAAAGGCACCATAAGGTTAAAAAAAAAAATTTTTTTTTCCTGGTAAAGGACAATAAAAACAAGCAAAAATCTCACCATCTGCCAGTACCACAAATGAAGTAACTTTTATTACACGCACAAAAAAGTCCACCCTTTGAACTATTAAGAAATTAATCTTTAAAAATATCTTGCCAGGGCACCTAGGTGGCTCAGTCGTTAAGCATCTGCCTTTGGCTCAGGTCGTGATCCCAGGGTCCTGGGATTTGAGCCCCACATCGGGCTCCCTGCTCTGCGGGGAAGCCTGCTTCTCCCTCTCCTACTCCCCCTGCTTGTGTTCCCTCTCTCGCTATGTCTCTCTCTGTCAAATAAATAAATAAAATCTTAAAAAAAAATAAAAAATAAAAAAAATAAAAATATCTTGCCATATTGTTCTTTTCTTCTTGTTTTGTGATGGAGAAAGGAGCTGACACTTGGGAGACGTGATTTAACTTAGTCCCACATTCAGTCACGGTGAAAAGATAAAATAACCTCTTTGCCTCGACTACATAGCTTCTCAAAATACTCAACCCACAGCAATGACCCCTTCCAAGATGCATGGAACAAACACTGTACCCAGAGCAAAGCTGGAGCTTAAACCCGAAATTCTGGGAGGCTGGCACCCCCCCAGCCCCCCGTCAGTAACTGATTAGATACTGAAGGAGCATCACCTCGTTCCCAAAAACCCTTTGCAGTTGGACGAAAACAAGTATTACTTCAATACCATCAAGAAATGACCAAGTGGGTCCAATTGCTGATTTGAAAAATCTTTATTATGTACTTTAAACTGTTCTAAAAACCCCAAATGTATCTGGACTTACTTGGCCTTAATAAAGAACAGCTGGGCAACAGAACTCGTTATTTATTAGTTAAAACTAGTCCAAAAAAGTGGCAAAAAAATCTTAAATTGTACACATCCCCTAAAATTTGTTTTCCAAAGCAAAAGCTATTTAGGACTGAAATTTACAACGCTAAGACCTTCTATTTTCCACAGTTAACATGTAAAGAATGGCTCACATGCCTTTCTTTTGAGAAAACTCCTTAGCAAACTCTCTTGTGGTGCCTGAACCTTCAACAGAAGAACTTAATCCAAGTATAAATGTAGGGCATTACTTCCTTTTACGATGCAGTGGTAGGTTATGAAAGTCATTACTTGAAAGCGGTAGGGAAAAAAAAAAATCTAAGCAATGGATTTACATGGGAAATTACCATGTTACGTTATAAACTTTTAATAAACAAAAGCATATTACTTACGATGTTCCCTGCTGAGAATTAGTGTGGGTTTTTGAAGATGTATCATATTGTTCTGTGGGGGAAGGAAAATGATCAGAGCACAATGAGATACATTCCTGAGTTTATTATAAATCCCCCCCCCTTTTTGTGCTGTCCCCCTCACCCCAGTCCTCGCTTTTTCCACCTGAACACTTAGTCTACGTCAACTCGGTCAACCATAGTGCTAGTGCTTGCTATACGCACTGCACTCGGTACAATCTCACCATCATACAATAACACTTACGTTACCTCTAGAGCAAGGACTTGCTTCAGAATCGAAAAACCCTGAACAGAGCAAAAAGCCACAGAAAAGCCCTGCTTGCAGCACACCCTACCCCATGACTGGTAACTTTCCTACATGCTGGGGACCTGACTCTCCTTGATGTTAAGCTCGCGGTGGGGGACCCCCATGGAAGCCCTAGGACAGAGCTGCTCTCACACCCGCCTGCTCTGCCCTTCCCCATCTACCAGTGATTTACCAGCACTCCCTCTTCCCAGCCTCTGACCTCCATCGAGTGTGCGCTCCCTCTCACCTGTCCATTATTCAACACCTGCCCCCATCCACGTAGTCACACTGTCTCCCAGAGACAAGATGTTCAAGGCACTCGACCCTACCCTCGATGAGCTGACAAGTGACCGAGGGACGTGTGCCGGGCACACAAATATCTCCAGTGGCGGGCAGTGTTAAAGGGGCACACAGATCGGTCACAGAAATGAACTGTCCCAGGAATCTCAAGAATGGTCTCTCTGTTGGTAGTGACTGAAGAAGGCAAGCTAGACAAGGAGCAAAATGAACTGTGTCACAAAAGATGGGTGAGGTTTTGACAGAATGACTGCTGGCTGAAGGGGAAGGAGGAGGAGGAAGGCCTTCAGGCAGGAGAGGGAAGATTTACAAGGGCACAGACTTGGAAAGGGTAATAAGGACAGGGTACAAAATGTGTGGACACCATGGAAAGACAGGTGAGAGTCAGATCTGGGAGGGCGCTGAATGTCAGGATGGTAAGCTCTAACTTTGTTAGGCAATGAGATACCACCAAAGGTCTCTACCAGGGACATGCTAGAGAGATTCCTCAGAAAGATTCATCTAGTGGTGCCACCTGGCAGAACCTAGAAAGGAACGGGCAATATTAATGGTGGAGGCAACAACCCATCTGGGAAGCTGCTTTAGGCGTAATAGGGACCTGAAACGGAACGGGGAGTGGAATGGGAATACGGATGCCTTTCAGGCAGGCTTGAATGAGATTTCCCAACAATGTCATGTGGAGACCTTGCAATTAATCACGTCACCCTCATGGCGGCGGCAGCTCTTCCATGACAGTTACAACTGCTCCCCCCACTGGCTACGAAGCTATAGGCAGGACTACATGGGAGGGGCTAAGGCCACTCTTCAAGGCACTCACAGGGACTCTCATATACTGGTCTTCACTGGGTTTGAAGTGCCCCAAAGCTCTGGTTATCCTTAGGCACACTTCATTCTCTGCAGGCTCCAAACAAAACCTTAAGATAACTAACTCCCTCTTCACCCAACATAAAACTAGACCTCTCTAGGGTTCAACTAGGCCCCACTCTCACAAAAGTAAACAAGGTTCCCCGGAACACAGACAGACAGAATGGCGGCAGCATGAAAAACCCCAGAGTAAGCATCTAGTGAGCCAAGACCTACTGGAGACCTGCCAGGGTCTGAAAACGCCTCGGAGCAAGAGCAAGGAGAAATCGGCCCACACTACTCCATCGGCCGAGAGGGCCACCCATCCTCCGCCAAGAAAGTGCTTATCAGCTCATCTTCAGCTAGATTTCGCTAAAAGGGGGAATCAAACAATTTAAAGGATTAAAGGGTCTTTCTGAACCAGGAGTTAGCAATCATCAAAGCTGTGAGGAACCCAGGGGAAGGCATATGATCTGCCTGGCGGGCAGCCCTAGCAAATGGGGAGAGCAAGCGGTAAAAGGGCACACAGCAAGCCTGTCCACAGCTGAGCTGGCCGTCCTGCCAAGCCTTGTCCCACTCCACTGCTTATCTGTCTCTGCAGAGACCGCCAAGATGCTGAGAAAAAAAGAGTTCCCGATCTCACCAAGAAGCCATTAATTTCGGTTAATTTTACCTTACCACTTATACAAACACTGTGGCAGGATGATCAGGTTTATTTCTCTGCATTTGGGGGAAATTCAGTCATGAGTCTTTTGCAAGATCTTATTTAGTATCTAGAGCAGAGAATGGCAAACTTTTTCTATAAAGGTCAGATAGTCAGTATTTCAGGCGTTGCAAGCCATAACTCGTGGCATAATAATAAATGAACGGGCATGGCTGTGTCCTAATAAAACCTTCTTTACAAAAACCAGCTGCAGAACAGATGGACTCTCAGGCTATGGTGGGTCCACCCCTGCTCTAGAGGAAAGGATATTCTGTTTCTTGCTTTCCTCATCTTTTTTCTACTCTCCTCACATCCATGCAATTTAAACTGTAGAAAAATAAAGGGAAAAAATATATAAGTGAGGGAAAAGAATGAGGTGGGGAGATTTGAGGAAGAGTCACCTCCATGGAGTATCTATGTGCAACCTTCTCCCAACATACATACATACCCTACTTTGGTTGCCCTATTTTTTTTTGAAGACTAATACTTCATAACTTGGACATGCACCATATATTAATAAACAAAATGACTGCAAATACCCTAGTCATTTCTATAAGGTTTGAAATGCCTTGCATGTAGTTGGGACACAAAAACTTTATTGAATGAAGGGGTTACTGATGAAGAGAAAGGCTGGATCCAGTTAGCTTACTTATGTTTCCCTCTGAATTCTCAACTATTTACAATCCATAAAGAGAGACCAAACAAGAATTGCAGGGTGAATACATAAAGAAAAACTAAAGAAGCTATGTACTCTATTCCTTATACAAATTTCTTACTTTTCTTAGGAAAAAAACACAAGAACCACACAAAATATCCTAATCTATTCTATATACTATTCCTGGGTTACAATGCTTTGAGAGTCACATTCAAGATGTGTGCATACGTCAGGCAATTATATTTGTTATAATTATGACACATAATATTTGTCAAGTACTATGACATCTTCATTAACTCTTTGCAACAATCTGAAATTGCACCTAAAGCACAGTTTTATGTTTGTGCTCCCTTCCTATTCTTTCAAAATAGGAAGCCCTCATCTGTGCTGGGCTATTTTTCATTTTTTTTTTTTTTTTTAAATAGTAAAACAACAAAAACCATGCTTTGTTCTCCAATGCAATAATCACTTCCACTTACTTTGGTTTTGGGTTGCAGAATTGATGTGCTGAGAATCCTAGAAAGAAAAAAAAAATCTCTAGTTATTAAAATATTAAGGTTTATAAATCTAAGGTTCCATCACTGCTAAGTCTGATGAACACTAATAAATCTATTTTTTACATATGTAAAATGGGTTTTAGTTCTTCTATTTATTATTTATTTCTTCTATTCTTTCCTAGAATTTATTTTTCCTTTGGTGTTGAGCAAAGAGTTATTTACTTATTTTTACAAAGTATAATTTTTTTTTTACCAGGAATAATGAACAACATTAAAAAAAACTATCATGAGAAAATATGTAAAGTATCTAACATGGCAGATTCTGGTCTGGGTAGATATAACCTCTTTTGAAAACAATACCATGCAAAGGAATAGCTTTAATATATTAACAGTGTGCATCCAAACCAAGCTGGACAGAACACAGATCTGAAGGTGCTATTTCTATACTCTGAAGGTTATCCCAAAGTACAAATAAGCAAAGGAAAATGGCAGTGTTTAAAATACACTGTTCACAAATACTTCAACGGAAACATGCGAGTCAGCAACTGATTCACTTGTTATTAAAACCAGCACTAAGGTAGATGATCACAGCAAACTTTAAGAAAATTAGTGGGTATGAGAAAGTCTAAGATTTATGTGTTATGCATATATCTAAATTCCGAACGAGGAATCAGACACCTACGTCACTCACTCTCCCTGTACTTGTTTTCCCATGTCTAAGTAAGAAGTCTCAAGTGAGAGAATTTACTGAAAAGTCCTGAATGCTTTCATAAGCTACAAAACCCCATACAAAGGTAAGATGTTCCCACATAATTTGGAGAGTGAAGTGTTTGAAAACATTATGAAGCACTTCAGAAGCTAAGTTAGTGGCAGTTTTAACCTATTCTGCAAAGATTTCAACAGCTAGTGCTAGGTTAATCTATCTCATAGCAATACTTCAGACTTCACACGGGTATGGATACAGGGCCTGTTGTACTTGTAAAGAATTACCTTTGTGGGAAAAGGAAATTTGGAGGGCTCAGCTGTACTAGGCGTGTGTATTGCTGTCAAAGGAGGCGGCCATGAATGGGTCATCTCCTGGAAAGAAACACGGAAAGGGAAGAAAAAGTAAATTATAAATAGCACATTTATTGCTATGTAAGTTAACTTTTCAAACTTAAATGTAAAGTGGATTGGTGGTAAATAAAAAGTGAAATCTTAGACGTTATTTATTTTACTTTTTAAAAGACGCCTACTTAAAGGGCTGTGTTCAAACGCTGAAGATCTCCCACTCACAAAACAGCATTCAGTTCAGAGAGGAAAAACAAGAATGCAGAACATGAGCGGTCTTCACACTGGAGATCATAAAGCATATTAACAGAGCTTATGTAACTGTGACCACAGAGTCGCGACTCAATGCTTGCTTTCTCCCTCGGCTTCTTTATTGCATTTCCTGGAATTATTTAAGTTCAAAGGAAGAAGAACTTTCCTGTTTGACTTAAGCAAACAAGTAATTCAGGTCACTTGTTCCACTTGGGAGAGTTTTAATCGATTTGACCCTCCCCTGATACACACTATTAGTACATACGAACTTTTTTTGGGGGGTGGGGAAGGGCCTTAAAAAATTACCTTCCCTTTCCAGTAATACAAGTTTCACTTTTTTTTTTTTTTTTTAAGATTTTATTTATTTACTTGAGAGGATGAAAGAGAGAGAGCACATGAGAGGGGGGAGGGTCAGAGGAAGAAACAGACTCCCTGCTGAGCAGGGAGCCCGATGCGGGACTCGATCCCA